TTTATCAATAAAAACTGCTAGTATGACAGTCTGAGCAAGTGACCGGTTCGAATACATCACTCTGGATCGAAGATCTATGATAATCAACGGTTAATAATTATGTGCGCAATGAGTGCTGCCAGTATGTGATAAAAAATGAGGAAATTTTATTTTTTTTAAATTTTTATTAATAAAAAATGCTAGTTTGACAGTCTGAGCAAGTGACAGGGTTGAATACATCACTCTGGATCAAAGATCTATGATAATCAACGGTTAATAATTAAGTGCTCAATGAGTGCTGCCAGTATGTGATAAAAAATTAGGAAATTTTATTTTTTTTAAATTTTTATTAATAAAAACTGCTAGTTTGACAGTCTGAGCAAGTGACAGGGTTGAATACATCACTCTGGATCGAAGATCTATGATAATCAACGGTTAATAATTTAGTGCTCAATGTGTGCTGCCAGTATGTGATAAAAAATTAGGTTTTTTTTTTAAAAAAATTTTTATTAATTAAAACTGCTAGTTTGACAGTCTGAGCAAGTGACAGGGTTGAATATTCAACCCGGTGACTTGCTTAGACCGCCATACTAGCAGTTTCATTTGCTAAAAAATAAAATATTTTGTTTTTTTCAAATTTTTTTTATCACATACTGCCAGCACTCATTGAGCATTAAATTATTAACCGTTGATTATCATACATATTCGATCCGGAGTGATGTATTCAACCCGGTTACTTGCTCAGACTGTCATACTAGCAGTTTATATTGATAAAAAAATAAAAAAATTCAAATGTTTTATCACATACTGGCAGCACTCAAAGAGCACTAAATTATTAACCGTTGACTATCATAAATCTTCGATCCAGAGCGATGTATTCAACCCAGTCACTTGCTCAGACTGTCATACTAGCAGTTTATTTTGATAAAAAATTTAAAAAAATAAAATTTCGTTATTTTTTATCACATACTGGCAGCACTCATTGAGCACTAAATTATTAACCGTTGACTATGATAAATCTTCGATCCAGAGTGATGTATTCAACCCGGTCACTTGCTCAGACTGTCATACTAGCAGTTTATATTGATAAAAAATAAAAAAATCCGAATGTTTTATCACATACTAGCAGCACTCATTGAGCACTAAATTATTAACCGTTGATTATCATAGATCTTAGATCCAGAGTGATGTATTCAACCCTGTCACTTGCTCAGACTGTCATACTAGCAGTTTATATTGATAAAAAATTAAAAAAATTAAATTTCGTTATTTTTTATCACATACTGGCAGCACTCTTTGAGTACTAAATTATTAACCGTTAACTATCATAAATCTTAGATCCAGAGTGATGTATTCAACCCGGTCACTTGCTCAGACTGTCATACTAGCAGTTTACATTGATAAAAAATTTTAAAAAATAAAATTTCCTAATTTTTTATCACATACTGGCAACACTCATTGAGCACTAAATTATTAACCGTTGATTATCATAGATCTTCGATCCAGAGTGATGTATTCAACCCGGTCACTTGCTCAGACTGTCATACTAGCAGTTTATATTGATAAAAAATTAAAAAAAAATCCTATTTTTTTATCACATACTGGCAGCACTCATTGAGCACTAAATTATTAACCGTTGATTATCATAGATCTTCGATCCAGAGTGATGTATTCAACCCTGTCACTTGCTCAGACTGTCAAACTAGCAGTTTTTATCACATACTGGCAGCACTCATTGAGCACTAAATTATTAACCGTTGATTATCATAGATCTTAGATCCAGAGTGATGTATTCAACCCGGTCACTTGCTCAGACTGTCATACTAGCAGTTTATATTGATAAAAAATTAAAAAAAAATCCTATTTTTTTATCACATACTGGCAGCACTCATTGAGCACTAAATTATTAACCGTTGATTATCATAGATCTTCGATCCAGAGTGATGTATTCAACCCTGTCACTTGCTCAGACTGTCAAACTAGCAGTTTTTATTAATAAAAATTAAAAAAAAAAACCTATTTTTTTATCACATACTGGCAGCACTCATTGAGCACTAAATTATTAACCGTTGATTATCATAGATCTTAGATCCAGAGTGATGTATTCAACCCTGTCACTTGCTCAGACTGTCATACTAGCAGTTTATATTGATAAAAAATTTAAAAAAATAAAATTTCGTTATTTTTTGTCACATACTGGCAGCACTCATTGAGCACTAAATTATTAACCGTTGACTATCATAAATCTTCGATCCAGAGTGATGTATTCAACCCGGTCACTTGCTCAGACTGTCATACTAGCAGTTTATATTGATAAAAAATTAAAAAAAAAATCCTAATTTTTTATCACATACTGGCAACACTCATTGAGCACTAAATTATTAACCGTTGATTATCATAGATCTTCGATCCAAAGTGATGTATTCAACCCAGTCACTTGCTCAGACTGTCATACTAACAGTTTATATTGATAAAAAATTTAAAAAAAAATCCTAATTTTTTATCACATACTGGCAACACTCATTGAGCACTAAATTATTAACCGTTGATTATCATAGATCTTCGATCCAAAGTGATGTATTCAACCCAGTCACTTGCTCAGACTGTCATACTAACAGTTTATATTGATAAAAAATTTAAAAAAAAATCCTAATTTTTTATCACATACTGGCAGCACTCATTGAGCACTAAATTATTAACCGTTGATTATCATAGATCTTCGATCCAGAGTGATGTATTTAACCCTGTCACTTGCTCAGACTGTCAAACTAGCATTTTTTATTAATAAAAATTAAAAAAAAAATCCTAATTTTTTATCACTTAATGGCAGCACTCATTGCGCACATAATTATTAACCGTTGGTTATCATAGATCTTCAATCCAGAGTGATGTATTCGAACTGGTCACTTGCTCAGACTGTCATACTAGCAGTTTTTATTGATAAAAAATAAAATATTTTTTATTTTCCAAAGTTTTCATCAGATACTGCCAGCACTCATTAAGCACTAAATTCCCTATGCATTGCTTTAGTTCTATACCGCGTTAATATAGGCGTTTCAGGGAATACACTGCTAGCTTAATTAAAAGCTGGCAATGTTCTAATTTTTCGCTAAACTATGAGAGCATTAAATTTCCGGTTTTGGCACTAAATTAGCACTAAATAAGCACTAATTGATGCACTTTATTTTAAACGATTCTGCTCACTTTGCCATGCTAGCTTAACAGACGTCAAAATTATTATTTTGCTACCGTCCCTTCACAAAGAAAAAAAGAAAAACATGCAATTCGTACCGGCGGAGTGCCGATAAGTAACCAAGACGGTAGATATTGTTTCATCAGTCACTCGATGCATAGCATTATGAAAGATGCGGAGTCGCTAATGCAATATACTCATTGCGTTAGAAAAATTTAACGACCAAATTCTTAATAGCGGTCTCAGAAGAACGATGATGTTGTCCGAAAATATCACGAATTTAACAAAATGTAACTGTAACAGAACCACTATTTTCATAGTGGATTTTAATTATATTAATTCGATTTTCAAGCGAAATTGAATTCATTGTAACAATTGCCAATGCATCTACTACGAATACGTCAAAAAACTAAATGGCAAAACTATCATATTGTTGGTTTAGCCACAATTGAAAAACAAAGTTCTTGTTGAACAACCCTATACGTAAACATAATCATTATGCGGCCGTGTGGGAACAGGTGATAACATGGCCATGTGACACAGAAATCAGAAATCAATGTATCTTTATTCAAATTGGATGTATAGTACAACACTTTTGAATCGTCCAAACATTTTTTTTCCCTACCACTCGTTATAGGATATATTTTTTAGCTGCGGAGAAAAACGAGCGAAAAAAACTCCACAACATTAAAAGCATAATGTAACAACATTTACAAATCATTATGTTGTTACAACGTCAATACAATCATGATTTATTTAATATAGAAAACCTGTTGGAATGATTGGAACAGTTCAAACCCAAGCATTTTTGTCTGTAATATAATCAGACACTTTGTAATAAGCTTTTTTAATAAGTGCTTTTTTTATACTATCTCTGAATTTATTTATGCTTAACTCTTGGATATTGCTTGGGACATTATTGTATAAGCGAACACAAAGAGGAGCTCGATGGCGCAAGTGGTTAGCGCGTTCGGCTGCGATCGTTGAAGTTAAGCAACTTTCGCAGTGGTCGGTCATTGGATGGGTGACCAAAAATTTACTATCTCGAGCTCCTCCGTGCTTCGGAAGGCACGTTAAGCCGTTGGTCCCGGCTGCATCTGCAGTCGTTAGCACCCACCAATCCGCACTGGGCCCGCGTGGTGGGTCATGGCCCAAACTCCCTATTCCATCCATAGGGAAGGCCTGTGCCACAGCAGTGGGGACATTAATAGGCTGATGATGATGATGATGAACACAAAGACCTTTAAATGAATTATTGATTTTGTGAAGCCCAGTAGCAGGTAAAGTTAGTTTATTTTTGTTTCTTGTATTAAGTGTGTGAACATCACTGTTTTTAAGAAACAAATTAATATTTTTTCTTACAAGTAATAAATTTTCGTATATGTATTGTGATGCGACTGTCATTATACCAAATCCTTTAAACCTATCTCTTAAGGAATCCTTAACTACATTACATTACGACACAATACATACTTTACCTTAAGGCATTCCTCAACCACCAAATGAACGCAGGATACTGCTTCAGATAGCACATACAATGAGTACCATTGATTGTATTTCAAACGAGCCTGGAAGTCTCCCATCACGCAGGGATAATTTCCTGTGAAATAAGAAACAGGGTGAAGGTTCGAGTCCCGTCTGTTGCCAGGACCGCGTGGATTATTTTCTAGTAGAATTTTCTTTAGATTTAATATTTTAATGTAAAGTTATGATCGCGCGGACCAGGCAGCGGACGGGACCCGTCCGTTTTTTCTAGTAAACTTTTCTTTAGATTTAAACATCTAGCAGTTAAATGCTTAAAAAATAAATAAAAACATAATATTTTTCCTCAAAATACTCTGTGGAAAGTTACTAAAACGTTTTTTTCTAGTAAACTTTTCTTTAGATTTAAAGTTAAGTTGTTAAACATACCGTAATCAGGCACAGGTGGCACATAGTCCTTGGTAGGTGCATCAATAAAGTGGTACAGATCTCGGTACCGCGAGATTGTATGTGTCATCTTCATCTTACCTTCCATCTTACTATAAGAAAGTTCCGCCTGCAATAATTTTGGGAAAATACAGAAACTGATTGGAACCCTAAATTCTGACTACAATATAGTTAAAGGACATTGCTCGTTCCCCATACATTGAATGCCCCAGAACACGAACAATGAAAAAATACTAGTTGTGTTAGGGAATCATTCATAAACTCTCATTAACACGGTTCCCAACTTAGGGGTTTTGCCCCCAGTTTTAGGGGCTAGAAGGGTTATAACGGACTTTTTTAGGGGCTGGAATTTTTAGGGGGTTCTTTTAGGGACTTTTAACGAAACTTGCAAAAAAACAAAGCGTGTGTTTTCTTTCAGTTTTGTGCGTAGAATGGAACGCACCACGACATGAAACGACTGAACTCACTGTGTGGTAGGTTGTTTCCTAAGGCTGTATGGACTAAAGTTCTTTGCCTTCCACCGATCAAAACAGCTAAATAAAATTTAACAGCCTGTCAGCTCATTTTCGTTTGATTTTCCTTTCGAAAAATGTATTTATTCAATAAAATAATTTACTGAAAGTAACTAAATATGTAACGTTTTAATTTATGAGCAACGAAAGAATTTAGCTAATAAGATAAGTAGGTACATATACTTTTCTATATTTAGGGGATTTTAGGGGATTTTAAAAAATACTTAGGGTAAAATTTTGGTAAGGGTTGGTAACAGTGCTCATTAAGCGTTTGTTGAAATACTTGAAACTTGAGGAACCGTGGCCTACTACAGAATGTATTAGATTTTGAGGTTATAATTATTATACTTAATCGTAAACGATGTACACTTTATATATTCTAAATACTTCCATTGTTTAACTCTATTTAAGTACTTAAACAATACGAATTAGATAAACATTTTTTTTTAATTGCATTAAATGCAATTAATAATAAAAATAAAAAATTCTCATATTCATATTGATTTATGAGTGTTGGCAGTTGTCACCTATGATAACTATACCTACCAGTTTAATAATAATAGATTTATATTTAAATGTTTAAAGACTTTCCATTTACCTGTTTCTATATTTTATTATTGGTAATTAAGGTATGTAATGGTTAGCATTATATTACCTGGTTTCATAAAAATAAATAAATATTTTATGGGATGGGAGTATAAATTATGTAGTCATTATTTCAGAAATTATCCTACTTATAAATATACATTGTGCGAGCTATGAAATCATATAACTTTGAAATTTATTTTAATTCTCTGAAATTTAAAAAACCAATTTGTAACTCGTTTTAGGCACAACATTTTTAATTCTTTTTGTTTTGTTTATGTTCATTATGATACCTAAAAATTGTTTCTTTTTTCTCTCATGTTTATGACAGACACTATGTGAGATAAATAATAGTGGAAATTACCTAGGCAATTGTTTAAACTTAATGTTATATTTTTATGTAAAAATTAATGCTGTTATTTCCCTAAAAATAAACAAATAAATATACTAAGCTAAAGCTTAGTACCTATTAAATAGCACGCTGACTCTGGATTTCAGGACAGACTAGATATCGCTCGCTTGAAATTGTGTGGTCTAATTTGGCCCTTTATACACAAATGGCACATCTCTTTTAAGACGCTTTTGAATTTAGATCAAATTGTGTAGTAGTAACAGAACTTTTTTTACTAAAGAATGTCCGTTTACTATGATTAATTTCTAATAAAGTAAAAGCTAGCGCGTTCGGCTGCGATCGTTGAAGTTAAGCAACTTTCGCAGTGGTCATTGGATGGGTGACCAAAAATTTACTATCTCGAGCTCCTCCGTGCTTCGGAAGGCACGTTAAGCCGTTGGTCCCGGCTGCATTTGCAGTCGTTAGCACCCACCAATCCGCACTGGGCCCGCGTGGTGGGTCATGGCCCAGTCTCCCTATTCCATCCATAGGGAAGGCCTGTGCCCCAGCAGTGGGGACATTAATAGGCTGATGATGATGAAAGTAAGAAAGAAAGAAAGAAATAATTTATTGACCAACAAACAAAGCATAAATAAAACAAAAAACAGAATAGGGTCAACTAGGTCCCTGCCTCAGCACAATGCCACAACGACACTGAGGCCGCTGCGGTGCTGATATTCTGGCAGGGCCTAAGGTTGACGTGAATAAAACAAGTCATAAAAACAAAAACACACAATCACGGATAAACGGTACCACAAAGAATAAAAAAAATATATGAAAAGGCTGTTGGTTTCTTCCTTTGCCTTAGCGCAAAAAATAATAAAAACCACAATAACACAAAAAAAAAATGGATGCGTGTAACTTATGTACGCGCGTGAGAAGTTATACTTCTTTAGCATCATTAAAAATATTTTTTAATTGCATGCAAATAATTAATAATTACAATAAAATAATAAAAGGACTGGAAAAGGATAGTTAACACAGTCAATTAAGTTCAGTTTTAATTTGAAAAATTAAATAAATATTCAATTAAAATCACTACTGAATTTAAGTTATTAAGTTTTTAAGTTGTCCATATGTAATTACCACTTGTAAGTAACTAAAACACGTTGTGTCTATATAGAAACTAGAAACATGTGGATAAATATTATAAATATGAAAACAGTGATCAGAGGCGACGAGCGTGCCAACATTGTTTTTGACAACGCGATCATCTTATGGAGCTCCGTGGATCGTTCAAAGTACCTTTCGAACAGATGTCCACTTTAATAATCCACCATTATTAGACACTAACATTCATAACGCGCCCGCGGCCAACTTCATGGTGTTACTATTGTGTTATAGTGATGCGCGCGCATCTCGAAATTTCACTCACATGATTTTTTCATAACGCGCCTAAAGGAGTATAACTTCAAAAAAAACTGTAATTATCTGTAGTCTGTAGAAAATTTAATAAATATTTGAGTACGACCAACTTAATTATAATTTAAAGTAATAAAATCTCAACCAGTGCAACAATATTCTATGAGTAACTTTGTTAGTAGAAAAATATAGAAAAATTATGGTGAAGGACATTCGTTTGTGCATGCTGGGGCAGATTTCGTCGATGTCCTTTCAAACTTGAACCCTTACTATAAAAACTTCAATCTTTCAATTTGAGTTACTCTCGATACCTGTGTTCATGAATATTGATGTCATGTGCCGTTAAGACGAAATTCAATCATAATCCCTTAAATGAAGATCCATATATTACAACTCGATCTTAGAATGTTACCTCCATCTTAAGTGCGTTCAAATGGGCCTCATCGATCTCTTTAGCCTGCCGATGAATGCACACCATCTTGATGATGTTTGCCATGAATTTCAGAGGCATCATAGGCAAACCATCCAGACGTAAACAATCCAGGTATAAATAAAATCTGAAAGAGCAAGCCTATTTCAACTTTTTAATTAAGTCGTATACTTAGATTAAAACGGGTAGATACGGCACTAGCCTCACAAAAGTGATCCGCATGAATTGTGGTTCACGACCCTAATCGCTTTAGTCACAACTTGACATGCAAACGACGTACATGTGAACGCCAAAAAGAAATATTGCTAATATTTTGTGTTTATATGATAAAACAATGCCTCAGTGTGTTTTTAAAAAGTGCTCAAATTGCTCAAGAACTAGAAATAAAACTCACGGCATCACTTTTCATTCGTAAGTACTATAAAATATACTTTTCCATAAAAATTGCTGTTTGTTTTGAATCTTATTCGGTAGTGAAGTCGAGTACTGGTCGCGTGATTTGTCGGTAATGCAGTGACGCGGATCTCGCTGTCTCGTTCGCGCTGCCGTTGAAACTTAACGTGCTGTTTCGTTCGGGTCGGTAATGCAGTGACGCGGATCTCGCCCCGTCCCGTTCGCGCTGCCGTGGGATCAGTTTTTGTTTGATGCAAGTATGAGCGTACCGTATCTACCCTTTTTGTTTTAATCTAAGGTCGTATATAAACTAATGGCAATAGCAGATACTTGAAGACCCACTTGTAACCGAGTTTGGCATTAAACAACTTTAAAAAAGTGTGAGCCTTAATATGTATCTGTCCAGTTCTATCGTATCGTCTCTGATCGTCAAGCGACGCTATATTATGCAAAGGTTGAGTAATAATAATTGTAAGATCATCGTCTAGACCAGGTTTAGACTACCCAGTCTCTCGTCGGGGTTATTTAAGACTACCATATTCTGTTTCTCTTCTCTCTTCAAAGTTGTGTCGGAATTCAAGGTGCCAAATGTTTCTTAAATAAAACTCTACTTTAACATTATTCCTATACAATCAAATTTCATAAATATCAAAAGTGTCATCCTTCTTTTCTCTTTTGTTTTTCATTATATTTTTTGCGCTTTATTAAGAGATATGTATTTTTTATTATACATATCTCTTAATTCTATTACTAATCCTTTCTTTATTTACATTTCCGTTTCTCTGAGTTCTTAAATTCTTATATCTATGTTATTCACTTCTTTTTATATTTCTTATTTAAAAAAAAAAACTTATTTTACATTGTCATTATTATTACATAATTTACTATTACCCCACTAAACTCTAAGAATAGTTTCCTTTCTTTCACATTTTCAAAGATTTCCCTTAGTGTGTCCTTACTGATTTGTGTATATATGCGTGTTTGTAGTGTGTGTCTATGTGCTCCGTACAGAGGGCACTCTATGAGAACATGGAAGATGTCTCCTAGGAGGGGTTTGAGTAGGTAAAGGCGCGAGTGATACTTCTGGTAACGCAAGTGTGTATATTAGGGCCATATGTTATAAGATACATAATGAATGAAATAAAATTTCAATTCCATAGATACCTATTTGCCTATAAACCTAAGTATTAATATAGTTTATAATGGAGAAATAAATTGAAAATGTTTACGCAGAAACTATGAGTACAAACCTCAGATCATTCTCCACTTGACGGCGAAGGTCTACGGCGAACTTGATCCTTTGCGCAAAAGTTTCAGGGTCGTCTGCCTTGAACATCAAGCGTATCCGAGGGATGCTGAAATATGAATGCATGTGGAACAAATGCATATTTCTTATAAGAGAAAGCAGTATATGACTGCTTTTACTATCTCCTTTTTAGGCAGGATGCATAATCAGGGCTTGTAACCGGTTTCTAAAATACCGGTAAATAAAGGTTAATACCGGTTTTTAGTAAAGGTTTCGTTCCGAGCGCGTCGGAAATGAAAGCGGTACCTAAAACCTTAATAAACCGGTTTAATCTAGAGCGACATCGCTTGAAGTTTGTTTTATGTGAACTAATCAAGTCACAACTTGTTAAAGCGCAGAGACTGATGCATTTATTGACATGTTTGCTAGCGTCTAGTGAGTCAAGTTATTCATTTTGTAGTTGTGTACTGACACACTACTTCACTCACTAGCTCTGTAGTTGGAAAGAAACTGACATAAAATCATTATAAATTTGAATTGAAACGACGAAGGCGATGCCGTCAGTAAGAGCGAAATGAAACCCTTTAAAACCGCTAAATTGATTCAAAACCTATTTGATTTCGCTTTTTAGGAAAACCGGGTTTTTTTTAAGGTTAAGATAGAGCCAAACCTAAATAAAACGCTCTAATGTACTTGATACTGATTTAGGTTTGAAAATTAACCGGTAAACAAGCCCTGTGCATAATACATAGACCGAAACGTTGGTGTCAGTATAAATTGGATACCTAATACAAATAAATCTTTAGGCATTGAAAACATGTAACTAGAGCCAATAAAACTGTGGCTAAAGCGTGTGCTTGCGTTTTCTTTATTTATTCGTACAATGAGCAATGAAAAATTCATGTAAAGACCTATAAATTGAAATTCAGACGACTAGATGCCTTTTTAAGGGTCAGAATTATGTAAAATTATTGCCGGTAATTGTCAGCTCAAAGTTTGTAAAGACAGAATAAGTAAATTTCTAAGGAAGGCATTGGGTGTAGGTAAATTTACTTTCAAATAAAGTTACAAGTCATTTTACGGCTCCGTATCCCCTTATACTGACTATTTCATAGGAGAAGACGTGAATTACTCTAACGTAATCAAAATCATTCTAGTAGAATCAAATGTGGATTACTACAGCATGCTCATAAGCATGATTCACAATTAATTGATGTCGATATTTTCTTTAATTCTCTTAAATATTTCCAAAATAATGTAAAAAAAAAAATACCAGATTTGACGTAGGTATTTGCTGGTGACTGTAAATGTAAATGTTTATTATGTTTAATTTTAATTATTATAACATCAATTTCCATTAATTTACAATATCTTGTGATGTTTTACCGAATAAGGATAGGTATAATTTTAATGAAATGTTTTTAATTTTAGCATATTTTTTTTTTATTTTACTACTAATTATTTCACATCAATAGAAGATTTTTAAATAGTGTTATTTTGTTATGCGATATTTTTGCTTATCAGTGCTATTGTGTAACATCTGTAATTAAGATTGCACTTAGTTCGCTTCCACATTGTTTGTAAGTTACTAATGAGTTGATGTTAATCTTGTTGATGTTAATAAATAAATAAATAAACGTTATTCATGAAACTCGGGTCACAACTCACACAATATTTTTCGTCTTAGAACACAACCGAATTAGGAATAACTTACTTAAACTTCCTTTTGGTTCCATCCAATGTCATTACTTCCCAGGTTTGTGATGCTTTATCGTAGCTAAAAGCAGCTACATTTGTCCACTAAAATGTAAACATCAGTATTGGAATTATTAAATTTACAGTAGATAGTCATATGTTGCGTGTAATAGGCGTGGTCACAGCTGCACTTCCGCTATGTAAGAATTTATATGAAAATTGTTCACATATGCTGTGTCCAAAAAGGGCGACTAAATTTTAAATGCTTAGGAATTATTGTAATTTTCTATCTTATGTTAGTTTGCAAATAAACGATAAGCCTTTCGGCAACATACAAGACTGCATGTACAGTTGTTCTGTCTGCGTTTCACTTTCAAGCCCTATAAAACCTAGACTTCAAGAATAAAATAATAAAATTCATTTGTTAGCTACATTCTTCCAAGCATCTAATAATGTTTGGCTTCTCTCAACAATGACAAACTTTTTTCCAATGAAAGAGGAGCTTTCTGACGCAGTTGTAAGAGCGTTCGGTCTGCAAGCGTAGAATGTGGGCTAATTTCGTGGTTCAGAAGGCACGTCGAGGCGTTGCTTAAGGCTACATTTACTATCATTAGGACCTACTAGTGATGTAACGAACGTCATTTTTTGAACATTCGCGAATGCAAATGCGGATACGAATGTCTGGTACCGATATTTAGTTTTTTTTAATTGGCGCCAATTGTCTATGGCATGGTGGCAGTCTCGTTTGAATTGCCGAGTTATTTATTTATTTATTTATTTATATCAAATACTTATATCTATTATTACAGGTATATACCCAAGGCAATAGATACATCCATTTAAGAATTACATTATAATACACATTTACGAACACATTGGAAAAAAATAATTAATTGCAACCGATAATAATCCACTCAGCTAGTTTTGTAAATTCGCTCAGAGCACAAACGAATAAGTCCATCTTTTCATTAATTTTGTTGATTGTGCGCAATGCACGCGTCAGTGGAGCCTCACTCAATAATTTAGTGCGTCCAGTAGGAATTGCCAACAGGCCCGGCCGCCGCCGACGCCAAATGTATTCATTTGGAACACTAAAACTAATCATCCCTAGTATGCCCGGATTAAATATCTTACCCCGAATAAATATAGTAAAATATAAATAAATATCTTATAGTTGATATGAACTCATCCGACTGAAGTGTCATTCCGCTCGCACCGGTCTTTTCGTAAACAAAAAAAGTGAATTTTGAGGTTAGTGATTGTGAGTGGTAATAGTGATTTATTAACATGAGTAAATTGAATTCTAGTGGAACATGGACTTATTTCACACTTTGCGATGCTGAACGAGCTAAATGCAAACTGTGTAACAATCATTATTCAAGGAAAGGCAGAACTACAACTTCTTCAAATTGTTTTTTTCTAATATTCATATTCGCAAAACATTCACAGAGATTTTGCGAATGCGAATATTCAAAAATATGCGAATATTATGGTGCAGCAATGGCTCATATGGCGGGCCATAGCCCTTTCTCCCTATTTCATCTGTAAGAAAAGCAATGATTAATAAGCTGAAGATGATGAACTCTATGAATTCCTACCTCATACAGATTGTTCAGAATCTGCAAAGTGTCTCCGGTTGTTTTGGCCGTTTTGCTCTCGTCTTTGGGAAGGAAAGCTAGCCCCGGGCAAGGGTACTGCTCTCCCTCAATCACACCCAAAGATAACCATTCCTCAGGAATCCTGTATGTTAGAATTGGCATTTATTTTTATTACTAAATAGTCTAATAACATGTACAATTCCATGTTTCTACTGAGGGGATAATTGGCCATGTCACGGTAATATTATCTATACAGTATTTTGACTAGAATAGACAACATAGGCTAATACACATATTTAGGCCAAACAATTTCTCTGGGGAAGAAAACACAGGTTCGCGAGATCCAACGTCGTATACAATTAGGATGGGCGGCGTTTGGCAAACTGAACGATGTTTTCAAGAACAATATCCCAATAAACCTCAAACGCCGTGTCTATGAGCAATGTGTGCTTCCAGTCATGACTTATGGTGCCGAAACATGGACCATCACAAAGCAACATTTACACCAACTTCAAGTTGCGCAGCGGGACATGGAGCGGGCGATGTTGGGCATTTCTCGAAGAGACCGAATCAGAAATGAGGTCATTCGAAGAACGACAAAGTTACCTGATATCGCTTGTGTAATTTCACGCAGCAAATGGAAATGGGCGGGACATGTCTGTAGACGCGAGGATGGCAGGTGGAGCAGAAAGGTAATGGAATGGAGGCCGAGAACCGGACGCAGAAACGTGGGGCGTCAACCAGCCCGGTGGACAGATGACATCATTAGGATAGCCGGTGCGAAATGGATGCAGTCTGCCCGAGATCGCAATAGATGAAGTGCAATGGAAGAGACCTTCACTCAGCAGTGGGTGGATAGTGGTTGAGGAAGAAGAGAAGAAGAGAAGATTTTGACTCGGCCCTGTCCTTGAAATAACGACCTACGCCTACGGCCGAGCGGGACGCAAACACGCGGTAGGGCTGCCCGCCTTCGGTATTTTAATTTTATCTACATAATTGAGTAGCGGTGGGTCGTTCTCAAAATTTCTGACGATGAAACGTTACCGTTTTGTCTTAAACTAAAACTAGTCCTTGAAACGGTTCTCGTTCGCAACTGGTTATGGTTGCGGCTGGGTCACGCCACGAAACGACACGCGACGGTCGAACGAATGTGACGCAACGAAACTGAACTAAATGAAATCTTGTAAACGTTCATTTCGTTGCTGCGAACGAGACGACGAAACATCGAAATAAATGTAGTGTTATACGATAATCGACTTTAAAAGTTCAGTAATAAAGATTATATTATTGTAAAATCAAAGCTGAATTATCATAGAACGAAACGGCCTCATATCATTGCGTTCTATTATAGACTGTATTTACTTCACCATAAAGTACATATTGGCGTGTAGACAATCCGAGGACTAGTTGTTCGACGAAGACTGTTTTGATCCGAAACGTAAAACGGTTCTATCGTCTCGGAACACAAAACGGTCCTTGAAAACGTCTTTAGAACGCTCACACCTGTATTTGAGTTTCTTTCTAGTTTTGTGATTGTAAATATTTTATTTTATATGTAAAAAAAATGTTGCGAATGAATTGAGAAGTGTTCAATAAAATACATGTTATTATTAGGTAATATTTGATAAAAAAGAATTATAGATTAGAGACAGCAAAATATTTACGCCTCGACTGAGACGTACGAAAAGCTTTATTATTAAATTTAATAGTATAATAAATACGCATACGTATAAAAAGTTTAATTTAAAATACTTTAGGGAAACATTGAATAAACAGAAAAGGGAATATGTTTAACTTGGTTATATATCGCACATTTAGAATTGAAGTGACTTAAATAAAAAAAATAGCAAATTGACTTTTAAACGTGAAACGACATCAAAACATGTATTCTATCAGTTTATTAATAATAAGCAGGCTCTTTTAGGCCAGAAGAAGACAAACGTACTACTTCCGTCTCTTTTAAATGACACGCATACCGCGCCTCCCTTAGTATTGAAGTACCCCATTCAGTGTTGCGTGGACTTTTATTTCATTTTATTTTAATTTAGAAAATCATTAATTGTTAAACTAGCATATTACAAAATTGGTCATCTATCAAATATATAACATCAGAAATGAATCGCCTCTATATTAAATAGTTACGTTTTTGTTTTATGTTGTTTAGTAAAAAATGGGCACAAAGTGAAATAAGCCAATTTTAATAAACTGTTTTCGGAAAATAAGTGACATGTTTTTTTTGATGACTAATTAACAAAGGTTCTAATTAGTTATACAGACTGGTTCAGTAAACAATCGTGAAAACATTTCCCCTATCCTACCATTAACAATAAAAAATATGATAATAAATGTGTAACTTATAGCATTATAATAGAAAAACAAAAAAATGCGCTGCTGCACACGAAAATATCAGTATAGTTATATAAATATAATTTGTTGTATGTTTTAAAGGATTTAAACTTACCAAACACATTTTTAACGTTTACCAAAAAACAAGAATTTTGGATTAGGTCACTTCAATTCTAAAGGTGCGATATACCTGAAGCTACTTTACAATTGCTGTGTTTTTTTTTTATTGGATGCGTTATTGAAGAGTTCAAGCAACCACACATCAACAGCACAATATCGACTATTGCTCTTTGCCATATAAATTACTAGTGGCCCGCCCTCGCTTCGCTTCGGTGTAGAGCTGTAGTTTAGATTATATTTTTGTTCTCAGGTTTCTATTGAACACAATGACTTTCTTTAAATACCTAATTACTAAAGACACGCGCCGCCGCCGGCCCCCCGGCCAGTACTGCCCGAACCGGTATGTTCTTGCATTTTAAATCTGTAATATCTTCGAAAATATTCATTTAAATTACATGCTGTAGAGGGTTATATTGATCTATATTACACGCACAATGTATTTAAGGTACTTAATTGGATAAGGATTAATGCTGTATTGCTTAAAATCGCTTGTTCGTAAATAAGCCATTATTTTCTCGTAATAAGTAATTAAAAAATGATTATTGTGGGTTATACCAAAGAGATAGGCATATACCATCGCGGACTTTTTTGTAGACCTTTTTAAGGTGTACAATACTGTAGTACATTATTTTGATCTATCTCGTTGGGTTCAACCAGCGTTTGCAATGTAAGCGCAAAAAATGTGTTTATTTACGACCTTATATTAAAAACCTCTAAAATTATCAGTGTTTCTCTACTATATTATGCATGTATTATACATATAAACCTTCCTCTTGAATCACTCTATCTATTAAAAAAAACCGCATCAAAATTCGTTGCGTAGTTTCAAAGATTTAAGCATACAAAGGGACATAGGGACAGAGAAAGCGACTTTGTTTTATACTATGTAGTGATGATGTAGGTATCTACTTGATTCAATCAAATATTCACAATACAAATTGCACGTTTAAGCACGGCTAACTGCTTAAAAAACAATTCACACCCACCGATCCCGACCGTTTGTATGAAGATAGAATACTGTATAGATAATATTACCGTGGCCATGTGATGAGCGCGTTCGAATCGTTCGTTCTATGATTGAAGAAGTTAATAATTTTCGCAATGGCCGCTGCATCTACAGTTGTTTTTGCATTGAAAAGCACAACATGCGAGTATATAAAATGTGGTCCATTGAATGTTTTAGTGCTATTTTCAATAATAATGTTCATCGTCGTCGTCCATCCAAATCTGTCATAGTTTTTTTTATACTGTAGAGTTACGAGAATACCGTAGAAAACGACACAAATTATACCCTAACCATTTCAAAATATCAAAAATGCACAACGTTAATATTCAAGTTTTCACTTCTGCTGACACTCCCGGAGTGCAACCCGTCGTTTGTTTTTATCGCAAGCATTTAGGCTATGGTGGCCGCTTGTCACCAGACGGGCCATAAGATTGTTTGCTACCCTTACCCTTTTAACATGAAATAACCTACCTGCAATCAAAATCTGTGTTATCGAAAATCTCCAGGTCCATTTTCGGGAACGGACTGTACAAGCCGTAGAACTCTTGGTCCGTGAACTTGAACTCCGACGGAGGTAACAACCAATAGGGTTGAATACCCAACTCTCTGAGCATTTTCTGATACATGAAATATGAAGAAACAGTTCTTTAAGCAAGCTAGGGATGTCGAAAGTGAAAAAAATATCGATATATCGATACATCGATATTTTAAAAAATATCAATCGAAATATCGCGAAAAAAAAATCGATATATCGATATATTGGACCAATTTTCCCAAAAATATAATTAGGTCAGCCTAGCACAGTAATAATAACAACACAAATTATAATTAAAGAAAGAATTATGAAAGTACCAAATTGCCACTACACTACATGACAGTACAGTATATCACAAAAGATAACACGCGGAATAATAATGGAACGAAAATTATCTCCCTAAAACTAGATCCTATTTTCGAATGATGAAAATGATTCAGGTGCCCTCTTTCGTAAACAAGACTAGACAGTCACACACTTCCACAGAATATAATGGAATTCAGCACAACCAATTCACCAGCGATGTTGATTTACAAATCATAGACAATATAAATACAGCACAGATCATAGATAATAATATGTCGAATATCATTAATCTGAGATCCAGATACGAATTTAGTTAGATCGTGATATGCCGCTAATAATTAAAAAAATATCGTTTTTGATACGAATTTCGATATTGGTTATTTTGTATCGATGTATCGATATATTGAATCAAAATATATCGGCTGAAAATATCGATATATCGATCAAAAAATATCGATACATCGATTTAATTTCAACAAGCCTAAAGCAAGCAAGGGGAAAAGGTGTAGAAGTTCTTAACTGCTGCAGCTATCTTCGTGTTTGGACTTTACCACCATTTAGCATCTGGTGGGGTAGTCATTTGCCTACCTAAATATAATAAAAGAAAAAAAAACATGGTGTTGTAATAGTTATTTATGAAACCGTTGTATAATGAGGCGTATTAAAATACGAATATAGGTTTTCGTGTTAATAATATCACACGAGTGTTTAAAACCTAATTTTAACAGTTGCATGCAAGACTATATCTACACCCATAAGGGCGCTTTCAATTTATGCGTTTCTTGACGGCCTGCTGCGGTGCCGAAGCGGTGCGTTTGTCGTACAGCGTACGGACGATCCTTTTTGAAGTTATACTTCTTTAGGAGCGTTATGAAAAAATGATGAGAGTGAAATTTTAAGATGCGCGCGCATCACTGTAACACAAAAGTTAACAGGTCGCTAAAGCGACCAACTTCATGCTGTTACTTTTGTGTTTACCGCACATTAAGAAAATCTACCAACAAAATAGAAATAGAATATCTATTTAGTGGGTGCTAACGACTGCATTGTGAAGGCCTATCAAAAGTATTTATTAATCTGGAACAACGGAACCAAAGCGCGATTCAGGAGACTACAGCGCCATCTCTCGACCATTGGTGTAGTAGAACCAAATACCACATCTTTATTTTTTGTAATAAAGTAACAGTTATAGGTATTCATATTTATAATATTTATCCACATGTTTCTAGTTTGTATATTCGGAATACGTGTTTGAGTTTCATACAAGTACAAATCACATATGTTCTAATAAATTATATTCAGTAGCGATTTTAATTGAATATTTTGATAACTTATTTATTTTTTCATATTAAAACTGAACTTTATTGACCTTTTCCAGACTTTTTATTAATTTATTGTAATTAATTATTTGCATGCAATTAAAAACTAATTTTAAACGATGCCAAAGAAGGATAACTTCTCACGCGCCTACATAAGTACACGCACCCATTTTTTTCTTTTTTTTCACACAGGACAACGACTGTTGCCGCACCGCGCGTTTTGTAAACCTACATTTTTTACGAAATAATAATAAACTATATTATTATTTCGTAAAAAATGTAGGTTCCTGTAGGATTCTCAAAAAATTAAGATTGAGGCTAATAAAGTCCCGGGCGGCCGCTATATAAAATACTTCTTCTTTTTTTTACACACACCAATTAGCCTAGCCCTAAGGTAAGCACTGTAAGGCTTGTGTTATGGGATGCTAGGGTAATAGAATACATATACTGTACATATATAAGTACATTTATATAGAAATACATATTAAACATCCATGTCCGGAGTACAAATGCTAGTATTCATCACACAAACATCTGCCCCCACCGGGATTCGAACCCGGGACCTCTCGAGTCGGCGACACCATGAAACCCGGCGTACAAACCACTCGGCCACGGAAGTCGTCAATTAATTAGTACCTACCTTTATATTAGCCGCTAGAAACTTTCTTCGCAATCTCTCAATCTTCACAAGTCTTGGCAACTCCTTTGGTAATACTACACTCAGAAACTGCAGTTTCGGCACAAACGTCTCGAACGGGAATTGCTACAATTGGACAAAAATATTACACATTCACAACATTGATATATTTAATATTTCACATAGGAATACATATAAAGGAATTTCTTAAACTAAAATTAAAAGAAAATATTTAAATTAAAATATTTTTGGTATTTTTTTTTTAGTACAATACTTGATCTTTAATGTTTTTCTGTAACTAATAAGTTAAATTGCTGGCACTGTAGGTCGTCTCTTATAATTTCACTGTAACCACAGAACAATTATATTAAAATGTATGACTGTTTGTAGCCACAAATAAAGAGAAAAAATAAACATTCATAGATGAAACAAGCGGATCCGACAGATATCGTCATTTCCGATAAAAATATAAACAAATTCATCCGACGTAGCGATTAGAGTTGTAAGTTATTTTTCTATTCTTTTTCTAAAAAAAATAAAAAGGAGATTGCTCAGCTTCCATACATGTTTGGCCTAAAGACCAATAATCATGAAAAATTGTTTCCTAGATTCGAAATTATATATAAATTACTGTAGAAACGAATATTATTGACGGACACCCCTGAGAACTTTTATAAACCATATATTAAAATAATAAAAAAAAAAAACAAATAAGTTATACAGTAAACTAGGGAAATCAAGCCAATTACCGAAATTATGGATTAGATTCAGGTATATAGAGCATGTAGATTAACAGATAGTTGCCTGTTTTTAAAGTTAATGCATAAGAGTAACTTTTAAAATCAGGTGTCATTTCCAGCTATAATAAGGTAGGTACTCTGTGACAGAAACTGTGTGATGATTGTGAATGAGCCACAGATCAGAGACAATTTTTAAACTCTCGTTAACCATATAAAGCTAAGAGATTTAGGTTCTATAGCCATGTATTCAGTAGCTTCATTATTTTTGTTATGTTTTTAAGATAACCATATTTTAGATTTTTGGTGTATCACAACTTATAATTTTATTTATTTATTAATTTATAGTTAGGGAACGTAGGCCCATAGATAGATACCTTAAAGTCTAAAATATATACAGATTTTAATGTGTTTATGGAGTTGTATGGCGAAAAATGTATGGCAATAGACTTTATGATGTCGCCTACCATCTATAATAATTGTCTGAGCACATTTGCATCTAGTGAAAATGATAATATAGTTGTGGATATTAATACAGTGTAATAAAAAAAATGATTTATTTTATCGATCTTTACATAATAGATTTGTTTTTATTGTTATATAAACAACTTCGATCAGTCTTTGGCTGAATGTTACTACAGCCATAGCCATTAAAAATGATTCGTATGTTTTCCAAACCGGTAAAATTAAAAGTCCTTTTTAAAGTAAATATATTATACAAAGGTGTCCGTTGAAATCTAATGACTGTAAATTAAATTATAAATTACGCCAAGAATTACCGTGTATGACAATATTTTTTGTGCATTTAGGCCAATTTGAACAATCTCCTTTAGTAGGTTTTTTTTTTTAATTTATTTAGGACAACCAACAAAGCTTTACACAGCGTCAGTGTTAGCAGTTACAGAAGCAATTTAAAGCTATGATTAGTGTCGCTTTAATTAAAGGTTGCTACGGCATGCGCAATAGGAAGCAACTAAAATTAACAAATTCTATCATTCAGCAACTATGAGTTTAAATCTAAAGAAAAGTTTACTAGAAAAAAATCCACGCGGACCAGGCAGCGGACGAGACACGAACCCGCATCCTTCGCTATCCGGGCGAATGCACTGACCATTATGCTACCACGGCCCTATTAGCCGCGTTGAAATTTTCCTAGCCTTAAGCTGCAAAGCAGCGCCGTCTCTTCGCATTGTAGGTAACCCACAATGTCAAATGAATACTTTTTCAAGTATTAAACATTTGAAAGAAGAAATAGCAATTATAGTTATGATTTTATTTATTTTTTAAGCGGACCAGGCAGCGGACGTGACGGGACGGTCCGCGTGGATTTTTTTCTAGTAAACTTTTCTTTAGATTTAAACTAGCAGTTGAATGCTTAAAAAATAAATAAAATCATAACTATGAGTTTATTAGAAAACTCCTAAAAAAAGGATGAAAACTATAAAGTTCTTCTCAAGCTATGGCGTGACCAAGAAAAATACGGTTTGACTTTTATTTATAAATATAGAATAGGCCCCGTATTAACAGATCGCACTCAATATTTGAGGAGCTCGATGGCGCAGGTGGCTAGCGCGTCCGGCTGCGATCGTTGAAGTTAAGCAAATTTCGCAGTGGTCGGTCATTGGATGGGTGACCAAAAATTTACTATCTCGAGCTCCTCCGTGCTTTGGAAGGCACGTTAAGCCGTTGGTCCCGGCTGCATTTGCAGTCGTTAGCACCCACCAATCCGCACTGGACCCGCGTGGTGGGTCATGGCCCAATCTCCCTATTCCATCCATAGGGAAGGCCTGTGCCCCAGCAGTGGGGAGATTAATAGGCTGATGATGATATGATGACTCAATATTATAATGATAGGTCGTTATACACACCATCGCCATAATCGCTAATTGGTGTGTGTGTTGAAAATAATTATTATTATTATATATTACCTATAATATATAATAATAATAATTATTTTCAACACACACACCAATTAGCCTAGCCCCAAAGTAAGCACTGTAAGGCTTGTGTTATGGGATACTAGGGTAACGGATGGAATACATATGCAGTACATATATAAGTATATTTACATAGAAATACATATCAAACATCCATGACATGACAATAGGTACAAATGCTCGTATTCATCACACAAACATCTGCCCCCGCCGGGATTCGAACCCGGGACCTCTCCAGTCGGCGACACCATGAAACCCGGCGTACAAACCACTCGGCCACGGAGGTCGTCTATATATAACGAGCTCCTCCGTTCTTCGGAAGGCAAGTTATGCCGTTGGTCCCAGCTGCATCTGCAGTCGTTAGCACGTACCAATCCGCACTGGGCCCGCGTAATGGGTCACGGCTCGGCCTGGTCTCCATATTCCATCTATAGGGATAGCCTGTGCCCCAGTGGGGACATTATTAGGCTGATCATGATGATACAGTTTATAAATTAATTTCAGAATTAATGTAAGTAAAACCACAGACAAAATAAAATATTTGCGCAGTAGACGAGTTTGTATGTAAAATTGGTACAAGAAATTTTCCTGGGTGTAAGCTTATATTAAAACAAAAAGGGTAGATACGGCACTAGCCTCACAAAAGTGATCCGCATGAATTGTGGTCTACGACCCTAGTCGCTTTATTCACAACTTGACATGCAAGCGACGTACACGTGAACGCCAAAAAGAAATATTGCTAATATTTTGTGTTTATATGATAAAACAATGCCTAAGTGTGTTTTTAAAAAGTGCTCAAATTGCTCAAGAACTACAAATAAAACCCACGGCATCACTTTTCATTCGTAAGTACTATAAAATATATTTTTTCATAAAAATTGCTGTTTGTTTTGAATCTTATTCGGTAGTGACGTCGAGTACTGGTCGCGTGATTTGTCGGTAGTGCCACTGCATTACTGACGCGGATCTCGCTGTCTCGTTCGCGCTGCCGTTGAAACTTAACGTGCTGTTTCGTTCGGGTCGGTAATGCAGTGACGCGGATCACGCCGTCCCGTTCGCGCTGCCGTGGCATCAGTTTTTGTTTGATGCAAGTATGAGCGTACCGTATATACCCTTTTTGTTTTAATCTAAGGTGTATAACTACGACAAAGATATGAGTGTAAATAGGTAGGTATATCGATCAATTACTATGCTCTCATCTTCTCTGTATGTGGTCCAACGCCCAGGCGGCAACAGTATTTTGGCTCTCTGTGGCTTTGGCAGCGAAATCAGCGTAGGTGCAAATCGCTCTGTTTTAGCCTGTGAATGGGGTTATAATGTTATATAGTCACATGTTTGAGTAAAGAATAATATACTTACTTATACAGGTAATTGCGTAAAAGTTAAGTAAATAATTGGTCGCAAATAGGGTTACCATATCTCAGGATTTGTCCTGAGATTTCAGGATTTTTGGACTCTTCTCAGAATTGCGGCTGGATTTTGCAAATCTCATGAAATCTCAGGATTTTTTGAATTTCCAATAGAATACAGCTTACGTTTTAAAGATCTCTTTAATAAAAAGTTAAACAAACTAAAAATAATCTTCTTTTGGTAATAATTGCACAATTAAAATCAGTACTTTATTATCCAAGTTAATCTTAACTTAATCAGTTTTATCAAACTTAATATGTGAAGATACATTTTAAAGTAAGGTTTTTTTCTTTAATTATGGATTCATATAATGCCCCACGTGTTAAGCTCTTCAAAGTATATTGATTTGAAAGTATAAACAGAGTATAAACGATAATATTACGACTTTTTGAAATTGTTAAGTACGTTTGAGAGAAAATTCTCAAACTGTAAAAAATCTCAGGATTTTTCAATGGAAATCAAGCCTTTTCTCCGGATTTTTGATTTTATCATCTGGTAACCCTAGTCGCAAAGCTCAACTCCATTTCCTATAAAGTGAAGCAAAGGTAACATGCATTAAGAACCTCTTCTTTCACTACCGTGCAGTACAGTGTGCAAAGTGATTTCATTAACTGAACTAAATAAATAATATAGACCGACGGTACAGTTTTTGTGTAAAGAAAGAGTTTAGAAAAAGATGCGAAGAATTTTCACTTTCCCGCCAAAATGTATCAGATTACTAGTACGGGAGAGGCGAAGGCACTAATACCATACTGCCATAAATTAATCAAGTATTAAACTGCTCTATAAATTACAAAAAAATCTACTGACTCTACCGATGGCTTATAATCAAGATAGCTTAATACTCAAATCTTTGATTTTATTTAAACGCCTAGATAGAGCAATCCATAAAAACCGCGCAAAGAAAAAACGGCTCGTGTTGCGCACAATGGTAGTTTTTCAATTACAGAGCATAATGCGACTCAGTGGCGCACAATGCCGAATTATGCTGATGCTTAATTGGAACGTGAATTGGTTTTCAAATGCACCAGCAGAGTGCGCTAAGTTCAGTGTTGAAAAAAAAAGTCAGTGTTTGTACTTTCATCCATACTTATATTTATTTTTTTAAAACTATTTGAATCAACTTAGATTATTTAAAAAAAAACTACAATGAAACGAAAGCTTTAAAAAAATTCTACAATAATTAAGATTACTAACTATAAATAAAACATCTCGATCAATGTCAACTTAAAGAAAAAACACTGGTTACACTTTGACAGGGCTGGCGAAATTATGAAAAAGTCCGACAGAATTCGCCGCGCGCTTGTAACTGACTGATTCAGTAACTAAATTAGTCAATTGTAATCAGAAGCTTCTAATTAGCCTTTTTTTTAGGATCCTAACTAGGACGTCTGAATTTAGTCAGGTAGAATAAGCGCTTAATACGAGTGCCAATGGAATTTGGGTAAACGACTTATGCCCGTAATAAAGAGAGATTCTCAGTGATTGATATAGTCTTGAGCATAGTTAGAAAGGGATGTCGCTATATATAGCACATAGCGACATCCCTTTTTAGCTGTACTCAAGTAAAGATCAACACTAACACCCATATTCTTAGTCGCGTCCTCAAACGTTCCTCGACTCTAACTCATTCGAGGGCGCCTTAAGGAGTTCCTCCAAATAACCTCGAAAATGATATTCTAGTAGGTATCTTGAACAAACTTGAGCATTCCTCCACTGAGAGTACAAAAAAAGGTATAAAGCATAAACATATTATATGTGTAAAGTAAAATATCACACAACAAACATAGGTAAATACCTACATGAAATAATCCTGTCACGTAAAACTTCAAAGCCACCAGTAATTGTATTAAAGGCGGTACAGGTCCTCTGTTATTACAATTTAGTGTAATGCTTAGCAGAGGACATATTACTTGTATGAATGTATCTCTCTAAAGCGAAATCTTTTTAACGAATCATTGGTATCCATTCTGGCGTGATTCTCTAAACTTAAAACTAAATTTAACAACAGTCTCTCCTTTTCATTCTGTATAGAGAATGACAAGGATACACTGTTGTCAAATTTAAGTTTAGGTTTAGAGAATCATGCCAGAATCGACACCATTGTCGTAAACCTCAAAAGGTTGTGCGGCGTCGCGTAAATACCGTCGCGCCGGATTATATGGTTCGTCATCGTATACGTAATCCATAAAATCCACCAATTCGTCAATAATCTCAAAATTCAAATTCTCAAAAAACAACTTGAAAACACCTTAAACACCACTCGAGAAGCCTTAAGGTACGTCGAGAGCTACCTTGAGTTTGACAGTTTATTCCTCGACTCGACCTCCACTCGAGTGAGGAATATCTCAAGTGAAGTATATTTTTGTTGTCTAAGCATACGAATTTCCTCGAATGAGGTTGAGTCGAGTGGAAAAAAATTCGAGGAAACGACTAAGAATATGGGTGTTTGTTTGCATTCTGTAATACAGGCCTTAGTGTAAACGCACGGAGTGGAGTACGCGCGTATTCGGGTAGATTTCCTTTTATTTACCCGACACCGTCTTCGAGCCAGTATTCCAGTGTTAATATTGCTCCGGGTGACCATATCCCAGTAATGTCATTCGTGCACCCGAATACAGACTAACGACCAAATGTATTTGCGGCTTTAGGTTAAGAATCATGCCGGGTTCGACGCCGATGTGTGCGTGTGTAGCGACGAGGAGATCTACCATATGTAATAGATAATATTTTTGTGACATTTTTTTTTAAATTACAAAAGTTTTTGGCAGTCGTTAGCAGATACCCATTAATTCGCAAGAGGCCTTTTACATTTTTTGCAAAAAATTGTAATTTTTGAGCGCCTCGTTTAACCCCTTAGAAAAGATTTTGACTATTTCCAATAGAAGTTAACAGTAGAATTATTCTTCCTATTGTAAGTTAATGTAGAATATTTGCAAATACTATTTTCCTTTTTTTGTACTGATCGTTCTACCGCAGCTAGTTTACAGAAAAAACGATAATATGCACAACTTCAAATGCCTGAATCTCTAAATAATGTTCAATAAATTAGATTAAATTAATTACTACGCCATCAGAAATATGTTTTTGTTGTAATATAATGTATTAGAATTTTGATTTTCCATCTCATTAATTATTAAAAAAAACATCTAACCTCCGGAGTTTTGCCAAAAAACAATGCAATGGTTTACCCGTATTTTGATATTGAATTAAATAGAATTACTATCAAAAACTTTCATAAAACTAATTTACCATTATTGAACTACTAAAATATTTATATATTATTATAATTAGTTCATTGATAATTATTTTATATGACTGGAAACATCACCCGTAAAATACAATATTACTAGTGCAAATCTACCTAACCGCCGATCAGTATGGCAGCGACGCAATTGTGTAAAAGGGCTCTTAAAACTGTCCTATGGATTGGAAACTTCTATTTATTTACGTTTAGCTTGCATTAAAATTTTTGGCATGTGGTGTTTTTTTATATTTGTTATTATCACCGCTTGGGCCCTGGAAGTACAGTTTAGCCTAAAAATAAGACAATGCCTAATTCACTTGACGAATGACGAAGCATTTGCGTCTCTAAGTGTTTCCGTACGATTAATACCCTCTTTATTCAAATGTAATATATTACAATACAGATACCTGCAGTAATAATTTCATTCTTTTCTTTGCACATATATCTTTCGATGAATCATCCTTTGTCATATCTGATACTAATTCGGAATAGTATCCTCTTTTCGGTATTGAATCTCTTGTTGTATTGTCGTAAATAACATCATATTGCCGTATTTTTTTCTTTTTGTTATACATTCTAAAACTTGAACTTCTTAGTTTTTTCTTAATGGCGTTATTTAAACAACGTCAAACAATAGTTTATTGCCTATCATGCATAATCTGTCATTAATACTTTTGTGTTCATAGATTACGATGGAAATGGGACCTCCTTTCTTAATTATTTTAATAGATATATGAATAAAATAAAAAAATAGGAAGGTAGGTTACTGAAGACTAATAAAGCTGTATGAACTTTGTATCGTTTACCTTACTAATAGCAAAATTGTAACGCAAATGCAATTACCAGTGTTTTAAACTTTAAGATTTTCTTCCCAAATATATATTTTTTTACATAACGATATCTTAATATCTAAGACAATTGTAAATTCGGTACCTACGGATGCGAATGCGGAGTTAAATAGAAACAATTAGGTACTAACGTAATTAACCATTTATGGCTACGCCTACGTGTTATCACAACGAGGACACCATAAAATTGTATCATAAAAGCATATGCCTATAATGTCAAAAATATGAATATAATTAAAAATAACTATCCATGTGTCTGGCGTTGGTCTCCCGCGATTTATAACAAATGCCGCGGTAGTGCACTGCTATAGAAGTGAAGAAGTACCTGCATTTTGATTGCTGTGTCATTCAGTATAAATACAAATGTGTTATTAATATTAAGTGTGACTAGATTTTAAAACCTTCAATATGAAGGAAGTTAGGGATTATCTCCACTAGCAGAATTGATGGTTAGGGCTTGAGGAAAACCAGACAAGACGGGTTTAATAATTTTTATTGTTCAGCTCAACATTACACCGGAACTATAAAACTGAGTCGCTCGCAGACAGATATCGCAATCGAAAACAGAAAGCAGTAGAAAGATACAGATTAGCAATTGTCAAATAGTGATGTGACATTGCTTCTACAACACCCTTCCTCAATGTAACATCACTATTCCAAATAACAAGAAAGACTTACATTATTTACAAAAGCAACTTATTTCGACAATTTTCAAAATTTATTTTAATTATCGCCTTCGTACAAATATCTATAATAATAATAAATTCATTTATTTGCATCACAAATTAATACAATTAATAATAAGCAGACATAAATTATTATAAGTTTAAACAGTTCTTAAATAACTAGTATGAACTACAATCATCTGTCTGCAAGTTGATTCTCATTCTCTATATACTTTAGAATGATACTGGTGTCGATTCTGGCATGACTCTCTAAACCTAAACTTAAATTTGACAAAAGTGTATCTCTGTCATTCTCTATACAGACTGAAAGACTCATGTCTAGTTTTAAGTTTAGAGAATCCTGCCAGAATCGACACCAATGTTTTTCTTAACTCTCTCTAATAAAATGAAACTTTATATCTATGTGTTTCAATCGCTTGGGTTCTTCGCAATATGGATGGCAGATTGGTTATCCTCAAATATGATTACATTAGTACCGGATTAAACCCATTTCTAATAATAAATTCCTTAACCAACACCCTTCAGCAATCCCTTTAGCTAAGGCTACATACTCTGCCTTTGTAGATGACAATGCCACACACTGCTGCTTACTCGAAGACCATGACACTGGTACCAATTCTGGCGTGATTCTCTAAACTTAAAACTAAATTTAACATCAGTCTCTCCTTTTCATTCTGTATAGAGAATGACAAGGATATACTGCTGTCAAATTTAAGTTTAGGTTTAGAGAATCATGCTAGAATCGACACCACTATGCCACCATAAACTTGCATAATGTATCCTGATATAGACTTACGGACACTTTGGTCTCCTCCCCAATCTACATCCGTATATCCTACCAAGGGTTGAATAATACCTGTTTTATAAATCACCTTCATGCTCAAGTGTACGCACACAGTAATGAAGAAGCGAGCAACCGTATTCCGCGTATCCAACGAGGTCATTTTCCATCCTCGCTCATGGTATGGTTGGGAGTTTCTTATTGGGGCTTAACAGAGAGGTACATTTTTATGAGAAAGGTTTAAAAACGATGCAGTTGTGTATCAAAATGCAGTCCTGACGAACCTTGTGGAACCTGCTTCTCATACCATCTCTCTCTTCTTTCTCTTTCTACTAGACGGACACTTCCACACGCTTCCACTTCTTGTAGAGTAGATATTGGTGTCAATTCTGGCGTGATTCTCTAAACTTAAAACTAAATTTAAGGTCAGTCTCACCTTTTCATTCTGTATAGAGTAGGACAAGGATGCACTGTTGTCAAATTTAAGTTTAGCTTTAGAGAATCATGCCAGAATCGACATCATTATCTCCCCACTCACCTACTCTATTCTTATAACTCTATACATTCGATGGCTTAAAAACGACTAGAGCCGTAAAACTTATTAATAAAAAAATCATTCGCGGGAGCGGGAGAGCACAACGTCTTCCAATCAAATAAAGCCAGAATATAAAACCCCGACGGGGTTTTTGGAGGGATTTCATGAGTGCGGTTGGCGTCTTATTTTAATTATTCTTAAATTCGTTCATAGTGGATATTGTGAAATAAAATTGTTGTGGTTTTGTGTAACAACCGTCTGCGTAACTGCAGAATTAGTGGAATAGTTAAAATATACGCTATTCCGGTCAAGCGGACGTGAGAATTTTATTGTAGTGTTGACTACCTCACAGAAGCTTATCGAAAAAGTCAACTCGATAAATTTCGTGCCAAACACTCCAAGAAACATTAGAATGCGTCACACCGACATTGTAATGTAAAAACAAGAAGAAGATTAATTTAATTAAAGGTTAGGCTGTATGGGCATTGTTCCCTTTGCTTTCACTAAAACGGGAGAACTTCAACAAAAAAAACCCAACATCTTCGATGGACAAACATTTTTGTCATAAATTTACTAAATACTTTTTTCTTCTTTACATTGAGATTATTATATCACGACTGTTACGGTAAGTGATTATCCGACTTAATTATTTTAGACAAATGCAAAAGCTTAAAAAATATGATATGTACAAAATATTATATTGTTTTTAAACTTTCATGGTCACTAACATAGCTAATAACGGGATTGTTTACATGGTAACAATCCCGTTAATAGCTATAATGTACAAAATATTTACATATAACATAAAATTTAAACGCATACAATACAAATGTCATATGCATGCTGCAATATTTTTAAATTCTATGCACCCTATGAAACTGTCATCATGGTTGTCTTCCCTGTATTCACATTTAGGTTAGGTATGTAAAATAAAAATCTTTGGTGCAGGCACGGACCTGTGCAGGACCTGTGTACCTTATTTTGTGTTTGTCAGACTAAGTAAGTAGTCTGACAAACACAAAATAAGGTAAACATTAAAAAAAGATAGGTAGGTATCTTTATATTTGCTTTTTCTATTTTATTAGTTTGTTAAACTTAAATTTGACAACAGTATATCTTTGTCATTCTCTATATAGAATGAAAAGGACGGACTAATGTTATGTTTTAAATTATATTAAGTTCAGATAATCATGCCAGAATCTACCCCAGTATGTACCTAAAATTAAATAAATTTTGTTCTGTGATGTTTATCTTACTATGCTATACAAATGCAGTTCAGCATCTTTTTTCCACTTGTAGGCTACAATATTTTAATCAGTCCAATAGCGTAAACAGATACTTACTCAGTGTCAGTATAGAATCAAATGTTAATTAATGTAATATAAGCACTTATTAAAAACCTGACCAAAAAATCTACTGTTTTTTTTAGGTTTGTGATGTTCTTTGTGGCATCTTTTACAAAAACTGTTTACTTATATTGGAATTTATTTTAATTTGAAAAACCTCACACTTATTTAGATAGGTGCGCTGAATTTATTAGCAATTTTATTTTACAGATGTCACATCAACACCTCGAAGGTGATGATGTGCAGAATATGGTACAAGACTCTGTCGCAGCTGATGATTTTATAGATACCACAGATTCTACAGAGCTAGAAAATGATGAAATTATGTAAGTTGTGTTCATTTGTATACTTACTCATTTATTTTTCTTCAAATAGCTTATAATTTACTCTACTAGACCAATTTAAAAAATGACAATAATTCCTAATTTTCATTAGTGATGTATATAATTTCTCTTATAGAGAATACCTTTAGCCCTTTTTTAATGAGTTTATATGAATATATTTTTTATATCTTTATATATATAATTCTTCTGTGAGTGTGTATGTCACTGAACTTCTCTTAAACGACTGGACCGATTTTGATGAAATTTTTTGTGTGTGTTCAAGGGGATCTGAGAATGGCTTAGATTCACAATTTTGTCCGCTGGACAACCCCTATTTTTTTAGGGCGGTACGAAGTTCGCTGGGTCAGCTAGTAATATATATACTTAAAAGTATAAACAAATAAACCTTATATTACTTGCTAATATTTTTTTTAACATTTTTAATATTGAAAATTGTTAGCTATATTTTTATTATTTAAGGGATTCCAGTGATACTTCCAGTGACACTGAAGACTCTGGAAGCAGCATTGAAGATCTTTGGGAAGATGATGACTTTGCCACTGAGGAAGTGTGGACTATGGAACGTCAAAATGTTGGTTTCTCACCATACAAAAATAAGGATAAATGTTACACACCAGATGAAGCTACTAGACCTTTTGATTTTTACAAAATCTTTTTTACCCAGGATTTTTTAATAGAAGTGGTGAACTCTACAAATGAATATGCTGCTGCATTACTAGCTGCAGGTGGTGAGAATATTCACAGTTGGGACACATTAACATTGCCAGAGTTTGAAACATTTCTAGGCACCTTTTTTGTAATGGGTTCAGTGAGAATGAAAAATATATCGGAATATTGGGATGTAGATCCCGATTGGATAGATTTCTACCCAAGGCATTTCATTGCAAAAAAGAGATTCCTTGCTATATTTAAATGTTTAAGGTTTGGCCGAGATCACACAAATGGTTTGATTGATTATTTTAACAAAAAAATGATAGGTATTTTTACTCCTGAAGCAGATCTCACAATTGACACACATTACATAAATTTCAACTCACGTCAAAAATTCAAATTACACCGATTAGCCACAGCCAGCGGAATTATTCTAAAAATAGCTAAGCACAAAACTTCAGATGAAGAGGACGATAAGCAGATGATGCGCAATAAAATTGTCAAAGAGTTGTTAGAGGAATATTTAAATACCGGTCGACATGTATACATGGATAAATATTACAACAATTTGAATCTCGCAACATGGTTGGTGAAAACTAAGACTAATGTAACTGGTTTACTTTATCCGAGGAAAGAGTCTGATCCGCGTGTTGTTGTTGCTGCAAAATTAAAAAAGGCAGGTAGCATTCACAGGTACAGTAGCATCGGAATATGCATCTGCAAATGGCATGATGATGAAGATATCTTGGCTCTCAGCTCAGTCCATGGTCCAGCTCGCAAATTCTTGCCAAAGAAACGCCAGAGAGGCAAGGTACTTGGATATCCTGATATGTCAATAAAATACTATGAAACCATGACGAAGTTGGATACTTATGACTTACTAATGGATTACTATGTCTTGAAAATGAAATGGATGGCTAAAGATAAAAAGATTGGTCTTCACATCCTACAAATAATGCTGTTAAACTCTTTTCTGCTGTACAAACTGAAAAAGAACAAGCCACGGCTGAGTTATCACAGATTTAGGAATAGTGTCTTTACTAGTTTTCTTCCTATGCATCTTATCCCTCTCAACCAACCGGCTGATTGTGTAGAGGCTGCATAACGGATGCAGATAAATTTATTATATCGTAAGCTAAATTAATTTTTACTGAAAGTTACAAAAACTGCTGTGATTCTGTAAAAAAATGTGATCATATTTTAGCCATTTTCAGCAATAACTTATTTAATAAGTTTTTTAAATATTTCATTGTAAGGCCTAAAAATAGGGTAAGATACGAGTCCTAATTTACGTTTGATATTTAAGGCACAAATAACAATATTGTTGCAGTATATTTAAAACAAACTATATTCTACTATTCCGACAGCTCTCAATAAATTATGAAATATTCTTAATCTATTATGAATAGCAAACCTGCTGATTTACAATTCATAATTGTTTAAGAAAATTTGTGGCCCGAGTAGATTTTTAAAATATATGTGTTACACCAATGCAACAACTGTTGAGCTTGCTAGTTTTTTGTGAGAACCATGATAGTTGTTGAGTAAACATATTGAAAAAAAAAAATATTACAAGAGTGACACCCACCGGTGTTACAAATTACAAATTTCCACGCGGACCAGGCAGCAGACGGGACTCGAACCCGCACCCTTCGCAATCCGGGCGAATGCACTGACCAATAATGCTACCGCGGCCCTCACGGACCGCGTCGAAATTCTTCTAGCCATTCTTAAGCTGCAAGGCAGCGCTATCTCTTCGCGGTCCGTGAGAGCCGCGATAGCATAATTGGTCAGTGCATTGGCCCGGATTGCGAAGGGTGCGGGTTCGAGTCCCGTCTGCTGCCTGGTCCGCGTGGAAAATTTTCTAGCTATATTTTCTTTAGATTTAAACATCAAGCAGTTACATGCTTTAAAATAATAAAAAAAAATATAAATTACAAATTGTCAAAAATTTTACTGCTGTGATTCGAATAAAATTAACTATAATTCAATTTCTGATTTTTATTGATATGATAAGTAAAAAGAGTATTTTAAAGAATATGTATCAAATTGTAAAAGGCCATTCATATGCAGATGTTATAAACAAAACCCACTTGATTTTTTCACCTTACATTAAGGTCCTAATTGTTAATCTAATTGATAAGTACTTTTTATTTCCAGTTTTATTTTTTGAAGTTATACTTCTTTAGGCGCGTTATGAAAAAATTATGAGAGTGAAATTTTAAGATGCGCGCGCATCACTGTAACACAAAAGTAACATAATGAAGTTAGCCGCGGGCGCGTTATGAAAAAATCATGTGAGTGAAATTTCGAGATGCGCGCGCATCACTGTAACACAATAGTAACACCATGAAGTTGGCCGCGGGCGCGTTATGAATGTTAGTGTCTAATAATGGTGGATTATTAACCACTTAGTGGTTAATAATCCACCATTATTAGACATCTGTTCGAAAGGTACTTTGAACGATCCACGGAGCTCCATAAGATGATCGCGTTGTCAAAAACAATGTTGGCACGCTCGTCGCCTCTGATCACTGTTTTCATATTTATAATATTTATCCACATGTTTCTAGTTTCTATATAGACACAACGTGTTTTAGTTACTTACAAGTGGTAATTACATATGGACTAATAACTTAAATTCAGTAGTGATTTTAATTGAATATTTTGAATATTTATTTAATTTTTCAAATTAAAACTGAACTTAATTGACTTTGTTAACTATCCTTTTCCAGTCCTTTTATTATTTTATTGTAATTATTAATTATTTTCATGCAATTATAAAATATTTTTAATGATGCTAAAGAAGTATAACTTCTCACGCGCGTACATAAGTTACACGCATCCATCTTTTTATTTTTTATCAAGTTATCACACTGAGTGAAAATGTTTATAAGCGTTTAATAAACACAATTACAATATAAGCAATTCGTTTTTATTTTATGAGAGAACTAGCCGTGCCCCGCGGTTTCACCCGCGTTTTTCTCGTTTCCGTGGAAATACCGAGATAAAATATATAGGTACCAACTCTTAACATCTTACACACGTGATGACTTTTAAACGAAATATCCGATTGAGATGAAACAAAAAGTATTTTACTTCTACATAAATACTCTTGATATCATAATGCTTAATTTCGATAAAGATTAATATTACGATACATATTAAACGTATTTTTTTCTTCTTCAGACGATTTAATAATTATTTTGAACACAAAATCGGTTATTGTGATTAAACCATGATAGCTAGATATATGTTCTCGCGGACTTTTTTGTAGGTCTTAATGGGATCTACAAACCCGTAGTACATCATTTTGTTCTATTGTCAATAGTTTTTGCAGCACACGCAAAAATAGGTTTTCGATTTTACACCTTGTGTTACAAAATAGCAATTTTATCACGGATTTATTTATTTTTAAGCATTTAACTGCTAGTTGTTTAAATCTAAAGAAAAGTTTACTAGATAAAAATCTACGCGGACCAGCGGACGGGACACGGTTTACCTAAGAAATAAACTTTATTAAATAGTAGGCTTGTTGAAAATATATCGATATTTTTTGTTCGATATATCGATATTTTTTGCCGATATATTTTGATTCGATATATCGATACATCGATACAAAATAACCAATATCGAAATTCGTATCAAAAACGATATTTTTTTAATTATTAGCGGCATAATCATGATTTAACTAAATTCGTATCTGGAAAAATCGTAACTGGATCTCAGATTAATGATATTCAATATATCTATGATCTGTGCTGTATTTAGTATTGTCTATTTCATCATTCGAAAATAGGGTCTATTTTTAGGGAGATAATTTTCGTTCCATTATTATTGAAAATTGGTCCGATATATCGATATATCGATGTTTTTTTCGCGATATATCGAAGCCGATATTGATATTTTTTAAAATATCGATGTATCGATATATCGATATTTTTTTCAACTTTCGACATCCCTATTAAATAGTCACATCCACTTCCACACCACAAGGTTACAGAATGCTACACGCTCGCGCATAGACGGGGAATCCCCCATCACATTTCTTAATTAATAAAAATTAATTTTACAAAAATAGTGCAGCCGAACTTAGAGCTAAACAAAAGGCACGTCGCTAATCAAATAAAGCTCGTTTATTTCGTCGTAGATGGATGGAATCGAATAGGGATTCATAGTTTTTTATATAGATAAAATGGTCTAATTATATATTGTTACAATAGGGCAGTGTTTCCTAACCTTTCCAATACCGCTACCCCTGTAACCTATTAGGAAAACAGATTTTACCCCGACTTCAAATGTTATCATCAGTCCAAGAAATTCCAATTTGGTCGCTACATCTTCGTCTCTAATAATGTCATCATCAGGAGAAAATCTCGCCTTGCTTCCCAAACTCAGCACCCCGCGGGCTCGCTAGCAAGAAGGAGCGCGTGCTCTATTTAGTAGTATTATTATATAGTATTTTCTTATTATTTAGATTTGACCAAATAATTAGGTTCTTTGTTACCCCCGAAGTATGGCTGATTTACCCCCGGAAGGGTAATTACCCCCAGGTTCGGAACCCAGGCAATAGGGCATACTGGGTAAAAATAAAATGCATCGCACATTATTTATAAAATTTATTGTCATTGTAGTTTCAACATTTATATAACTTAATTTCTTTAAATAGATATCCTTAAACTCTTTAATGTCGTGTAGAAGTGTATTTCCAGTTAAAGAGATTCCTAAACATTAATGATGATTCCATGGTAGAGGTATTTTACAGACGCAGTCACTTAAAATTCTCGTCGCCTGAAACCAAAAGAGCATATTTTATGAAAATGTTCAATAATAATTTTAACGCACTTTAAAGAATACAAATCGATTTATTCATCACTGTTGGCATTTTATGCTACGACCAGACCCATCTTTCCCAGTGGGCACTTTGGGCAAGTGCCCAGAGCCCCGCGATCGATAGGGGGCCCCCTCAGATCAAATACAAAGTCCCTAGTTCGAAGTCATAGGAGCCCCATTAACTTTATATGCCCAGGGCCTCCAATAGGTCAAAGACGGCACTGGCTACCACTGAGTAATATAACAAGAGTATAGTGTATGGCCATACGATTAATCATCATCAGTTGATTAATGGCACAGGCCTTCCCTATGGAAGAAATACGGAGTTAACATGCGGCACATTAACAAATGCTACGTATGCAGTCGAGATCAACATTTAAGCTTTCAAACCACGGAGGAGCAAAATATAGTAATTTTCTGGTTCGCATCCCATCATCAGCCATTTTTTATAACACTTATTTATTTATTACATTTTAAATCGATGATGGGTTATGTTCTATTGCGATGTAGAGGATTCGATAGTTGATAGAGTAGGCCCATAAGAATCTGAGGCCGCGTCGAGATGCAGCCAGGGAAGTCGAATGGGTGGGAAAGACAGGGAGAGTAGAGGACGGTTTAATAATAGTGAGGTGAAAGGAAGAGGAGAGGAAACGAAACGAAACAGAAAATTAAATAAAAGGTATAAAGGAATGGCGTAAGTTAAGCAACTACACAATCGAGTGCATGCCAATAGCTTACCTCCTGAAACAGGGCGGTGGTTCCTTCAAATGTTCTTCGGGCACGTAGTCACATTGCATCTCGGGGAAGCCCAGCAGCTCGGCGAGCAGATTGATCTCCTTATACGAAGGTTTAGCGCGCAAAATCTTGAGAAAAATATGAGAACAATAAACCAGGGCTTGTTTACCGGTTAATTTTCAAACCTAAATCAGTGTCAAGTATATTAGGAGCGTATAAATTAGGTTTGGCTCTACCTTAACCTTAAAAAAACCGGTTTTCCTAAAGAGCGAAATCAAATAGGTTTTGAATCAATTTAGCGGTTTTGAAAGGGATTCATTTCGCTCTTACTGACAGCTGAAATAAATACACAACTACAAAATGAATAACTTGACTCACTAAACGCTAGCAAACGTGTCAATAAATGCATCAATCTCTGAGCATTAACAAGTTGTGACTTGATTAGTTCAAACAAAACTTCAAGCGATGCCGACGCGTGTACGTGTCGCTCTGGATTAAACCGGTTTATTAAGGTTTGAGGTACCGCTTTCATTTCGGACGCGCTCCGAAATAAAACCTTTACTAAAAACCGGTATTAATCTTTATTTACCGGTATTTTTGAAACCGGTTTGAAGCCCTGCAATAAACAGACATATAAATATTATGACGTGGAGTTGTGCATGTTTTTTTGCAAAAATCAAACTGATAAACTATTTATTTAATCCTTATATCAATTAGGCAATTATTGGCGCGCAACATATGATTCATTTGGCTATTCATATTTGCTGCTTGTAAGCTTGACAATATTCTGTTCTTTTCACAACCTATAGACAACGATAAGGACAACCAAAATGACAACTACCAAATACGAATAGCCAAGTGAAGAGCTGGCATGACGCTCAACATGTTGCACTACGTAGGTATGAATTTTTGCAACTTTTGCATTAAAAGTTCAACGCTGTTGTGCAACGCTGTCAAACATGTTGCGCAACAATTGTTGCCTAGTTGATACAAGGCTTATGTTATCAAGCAACAAGCTTTGTCCGAACACAGGCAAGTACTAAAAGGTATGCAGGGCATGTATAAAATGCAAAAATATCTCTTTTTATAACGAAATAAAGGTTAGTAACGAATGCCTTTATTATACGGCTTCTCGTAGTCTGCCGCCTCTTGCTATTACCCTTTTGGCTCTAGGGTAGGGCTGCCATCTCTAAAATGTGGCAACCAGGATAAGACGAGTGATAACCCCGGATTTTGAAGCCCAGAACCCGGACAGACCAATAAAAAAACAGTTAAAAATGTCACAAATCAACTTTTTATGTTGATCTATTCAAAAGAGCTAGCGGTCTACCTCATAATAAGTGCTGCCCATGGACACTTGCAGCACCAAGGGCCACTCATGCACTGCCGTAAATTTTACCTACAAATAAAACCCCGCCCGGACGCCCCGTAAACTAGGACAAATCCGGGGAAACCCGGACGGATGGCAGCCCTACTCTAGGGTATATGCCCCTGGCGGTAAGTAAATGGTTTTCAATGTGCCACTTTTTATCCTATAAAAATATTGGGTTCATGTGGGATTCTCACAAAACTATGACGCGAACGAAGTTGAAAACTTCCAAGCTCAAGCTCGATAATTAAAAAAACGTCCTCCGTGGCCGAGTGGTATGCACTCCGGGTTTCGTGGTGTCGCCTACTCAGAGGTCCCTGGTTCGAATCCCGGTTGGGGCAGACGTTTGCGTGATAAATAGGAGCATTTGTTCTGTAGTCATGGATGTTTCTATGTATTTTTTTATATATATAGTCATATACCGATACGGTATTATGTAATACTAGCTGACCCAGCGAACTTCGTACCGCCCTAAAAAAATAGGGGTTGTCCAGCGGACAAAATTGTGAATCTAAACCATTCTCAGATCCCCTTGAACACACACAAAAAATTTCATCAAAATCGCTCCAGTCGTTTAAGAGAAGTTCAGTGACATACACACTCACAGAAGAATTATATATATAAAGATATCTGTTACCATAGTATCCCATAACACAAGCCTACAGTAAGGGGCCGTTCATACTTGAACCCCCCTGCCCCCCTAGAGTGCTTACGTAATACTTTACGTAAGCACTCTAGGGGGGCAGGGGGGTCTTTGCTTTGCTTATTTTTGATGACATGGGGGGTGGTGGGGTCGAGATAGTGATTACATCATGGATTCGGGTGTTATGGACTGCAGACTGTTAATTGGTATACATATACCAAAAATTCAAAAGAATTTTGTTTTGTTCGTAATAGTACTTAACTAGCAAACCAGTGAACCAAATGTTCACCAAAACCTGATTTAAAAAAAAATGTATTTAATTAATTGAGAACTTCGGAGATTTTGTGTGGTTTCGTTTGAAATTCGTGATTTCTCGAAAACCGGAAGTGCTACGTTACTCAAATCCGGTTTGTAGTCTTATCATACTATTCTTAACTTATAACTTAAACATTCTCTTTATCTATCTCTTACGGTTTGGCCGCTGAAACAGCACCACAGACAGACAGACGGACGGACGGACGGACGGACTTGTCTAATAGATAAGAGATAAGGTTATAATATTTGTACCTTACCCTATGCTGAATACTGTGTCAATCAAGTTTGTTTAAATGAATATTATGTGCGTTAAAGTCCTCTATCTAAGTGCTGCTGCTCATGAACCTCATGACAGCTCATGAATCAATAAAAAAACAGAATACATAAAAGGAAAAATGCATAAAGATACCAATGTAATACTAAGGTAAGCACGGGAGGGGGAGGTAAGAGCTTTGCTTACTTTTGCTGACAAGGGGGAGGAGGGGTTAAATAATTGTAACAAATCTGCTTACGTAATATTTGAACGGCCCCTAATAATAAATAAAATAATAAATATTTTCAACACTCACACCAATTAGCCTAGCCCCAAAGTAAGCACTGTAAGGCTTGTGTTATGGGATACTAGGGTAACGGATAGAATACATATACTGTACATATATAAGTAAATTTATATAGAAATACATCCATGATTGGAGTACAAATGCTCGTATTCATCACACAAACATCTGCCCCCACCGGGATTCGAACCTCGGGACCTCTCGAGTTGGCGACACCATGAAACCCGGCGTACAAACCGCTCGCCCACGGAGGTCGTCAACAGTGCTTACTTTGGGGCTAGATTAATGAGGGCTATCGCGTATGAATCTGCCGCTAGAGGCGCTAGTGTAGCGTGAGGTCTCCGAAATGTCAAATGTTATTGGTTGTGGGTTGACTACGCGGGTTTATTTCTAATTAAAATAATGTTGTGAATAATTGGTAACAATTCGGCTTAATTATGGCAAATATGAGATATGTGGCAATGAATGTCAGTTATTAAAAATTTGAGCTTAGAAAAATGATTATGTTCCCATTTTTTCCGAATAAAACGGAACTGCGCGTCACTGTGGCATGGCCTATTATGTTTAGGATATGGTTCTTTTGTGTTAAAATACGATCTAAATGTAACCTTTGACTTCATGTGCGTATTAATAAACTTTAAAAGTTACAATTTAGGACCTCACTCAACAGTGGCGCCATCTGGTGAGGCAGAAAACGGTAGCCCTCATTGGTGTGTGTAGTAAAAAAAAATTGTGTTATAATCACCTCAGTGGCCACTCCCTTCCTGTCCTCGATTGGCGGGAAGTTCCAGAAGACCATACCGACCACGGTCTCATCGCGAAGGTAGAACAGCATGCCGCGCTTGTATCTGTTCTGGTATTCTTCGCGTCTACATGCAAACAATATTGACTTTTATTCTGTACGGTATAGAAGCGCATTTTATATGTATCGTAAGTCGTAAAGCCAGAAACATATTAATGTGTCGTGTCGTGTCGTGTCGTGGCGCGCCAGAAGCACATCGGTTCCATACAATTACTATGGTTAGAGACATATTTACGTATCGTGTCGTGTCGACGCTTTAACCTCTCTATCTCTCTCTAACCCATAATAAATGTATGAAACCGATGCGGCACGACACGCCACGATACCTTAATATGTTTCTGGCTTAACTCAAAAAATTATGAAAATTATAGATGACCCCCTTAATAACATAATTTACAACCTAGATGGGCCTTTCACATTCTGAAAATACCTATACATATAAGATTCAGTTTGGGAATTTTCATGACACTAGATGACATTACAAAAAACGCTCAAAAGAGCTCAGGATAAAAAAAAAGGTCACCCACTAATGACTGGCTATTGCGAATTCTTGATCTGAAAATCAATTTTAATGATAGAAATCTACACTAACTTCTTATAGCACGGCGTATCGCCAGAAGGGCCTACTGGTTGAGGTTTGCTAGCAGTCTCGTTGCCGCACGGCTTGAAAAGCCCAACAGTGGGCATACAACCTCCCACTTCGCCTACCACCTAGCAAAAAAACGAATTAATTAATTATATTTTTTATTATTTTAAAGCATGTAACTGTTTGCTGTTTAAATCTAAAGAAAATGTAACTAGAAAAAATTCCACGAGGACCAGGCAGCGGACGGGACTCGAACCCGCACCCTTCGCAATCCGGGCGAATGCACTGACCAATTATGCTACCACGGCCCTCACGGACCGCGTCTTTATAACGATCTTTATTTTTTTCAGAATCAGAATCAGAATCAGAAATTTTATTGCATTTCATGTGGTAAATAAGGTCTAACATTGTTATATGGTACAAACACATGAGTCCTGTTAGGACATAACAATATTGAACTTATAGCTAAAATTAAATTTATGTCAACATTATAAGTAGTAGTATATTAACAATTATCAAATAAATATCAAGTCAATTTTAACAATAATAATTAAGAATAATAATAATCAGCATGTCAAGGTGTCTTTAATATTTGAAATTATTTAATAGTCCTATAGTATTCACATAATTTATAAAAACATTTATTAACAAGGTAATCATTTAAGGTTGTAACAAACTTATCGTATTCGTCTATCTGTCTAATATGCTTTGGTAACTCGTTGTACAATTTAATCGCCATTGAATACGGCCCTGATCCAACTTTGATAGCGTAGTTTTTGGTACTACAAATTTATATCTACTTCTAAGTTGTGTTGATCCAGTATAATTATCTTTACGATTTACAAAAATATTTTGGTTCTTTTTTACTAGTTTACATGCTTCCAGGATATATAAAGACGTTACAGTTAGTATTTTATATTTTATGAAAAATGGTCTACAGCTTTCCATTGTATCTATATTGGCCATGATTCTTATACATTTTTTTTGTAGTGTAAGTAATTTAGGAGCATCCGAACTGTTTCCCCAAATAGGTATGCCATATCGCAACCATGATTGTGCATATGCGAGATAAGCTATTCTGGCAGTGTGTGTATCAGTTGATCTTTTTAACTCATTTAGTGCATAGATGAATCTGGATAGTTTATTTGATATATATTCAATATGACTTTTCCAGTTAAAGTTGCAGTCTATATTAACTCCTAATAATTTAAAATTGTTTACATGCTCTATCTTTCTACCCCGTGTTGTGAAGTTTATTTTAAGAGGTTTCTTTTGATATGGTCGAAATACCAATATTTTAGTTTTTTCAAAATTTATATTAAGGTTGTGGTCATTTAGCCAAAGAAGTAATTTTGTCAAGATTATGTCTAATTTATGGTTAAGGTTTCTATCGTCAGATACAGGAAATATAAACGACATATCGTCAGCAAACAATATACTGTCTTCATCAAAAATGCTAGGTAAGTCGTTGATATACAAAAGGAATAGCAAGCATCCAATGACGCTACCCTGTGGTATAGACTTCGTCACAGCTGTTTCGTCGGATCGCACATTTTTTATTTGATTGCTGTTATAACATTTGTGCTGAACTTCAACACATTGTACCCGGTTCTTAAAATACGATACAAGCCATTCGTGTGCTGCGCCCCTTATTCCTAAGTCATATAGCTTTTTTAATAATATTTTTGGCAAAACCCTATCGTATGCTTTACTTAAATCTAATAGCAAACCCACAGCATATTGTTTTTTATTAATAATTTCCAGAGCCTTTTGTACATATTTGAAAACTGCTATAGTTGTAGAGCGTTTTTTTCTGAATCCATTTTGGCTTTCATGGAAAATATTATATTTTTCACAAAAGGAATACAAACGAGTAGTCATGGCGGATTCAAACACTTTTGAAAAAGTTGGCAGCAAAGCTATGGGTCGATAGTTACTTTCTAATGTGGTATCAGATGTCTTGTGAATTGGTTTGATTATAGAAATTTTTAATTTATCCGGAACGGTCCCCTCGTCAAAAGACTGGTTGATTAAAAATGTGAGAGGCCATGCTAATTCTGCTGAGCATTTTTTTACTAACATGGGAGGTATATCGTCGTAACCACAGCTGGTTTTATTTTTCAAGCGCTTTAAGATTGCCATCACCTCCGCAACATTAGTTGGTCTTAGAAAAAACGAGTTCTGCACAGGGGAAACAACAGGGCGGCCCAGCGGCGGTTGAGATTCGTTATACGCACCTACTGACGCAAAGTAATTATTAAAAATATTCGCCACTACGTGGGGGTCTGATACTAGAGTACCCTTTGTACGTAATTTTATATTGTTGTGAGATTTTTTTGGCATTTTATTTGTTCTTTGTTTGACAATTTGCCACATAGTCTTGGTAACGTTATTAGACTTTTTAATTTTATTTATATTGTACAGTTTTTTCGAACATGATATAGTTTTTTTCAATATTTTTGAAAACTTTTTGTAGTGGTCATTTAATATAGGGTCGTTATGATGGATATTCAAAATTTTTAGGAGCCTTTTGTGTTTGCACGAAGTTTTTATTCCTTTAGTTAACCATTTTATAGTTGTTTGGCTTTTAATTTTTAGTTTAATAGCTGGGATGCATTCATTTTGTACTTCATTTATTGTTTGTAAAAATATGTTATAATTGTCATTAACACACGAAGTTTCTTTAAAAATGTTACTCCAGTCTATTTTCCTAAGATTTAATTTAAATAAATTTATTTTATTTTCGTTGTACAATCTTTTATGTATGTACCAGAAGGGTCTTGATTCTAAAGGTGTATTCATTAGAGTAAGCTCAATTCCTTTGTGATCTGAAAGGCCGTACTCCTCTAACTTAAAACTCATTTTACAAGGGTTAAAATTTATGAACAGTAAGTCTATGCAGGTTGCACTTGTTTTTGTTATTCTTGTTGGTTCTTTTATGTGTTGATTAAAGTTAAAAGTTTGCATCAATTCCAGTAACGCGACTGATAGTTTCGTCTTTTCTTAAAAGTTAATATTAAAATCCCCCCCTATAATTATATCATATTTATAATATTTTTTAGATAATATATTTAACATTTTTTCTAGAGAGGAGAAAAATATTTCAGTGCCTCTATTATTTTGTGGCCAATACAAATTTACAACAATTGTATTTAGTCTAGGTATTTCTATACAGCAAATTTCAAAAATGTATTCTACAGTAAGCTTGTTTATTTCAGTTATTTCTTTAAATTCCATATTTTTACAGGTAAAAAATATACATACACCACCACCGTCATGATTTTCTCTAGCGTACAGTGATGCGCATTTATATCCTTCTAGCTGCAATAAGTCTATTTTATATTTTGTTATCCAAGTTTCAGTAAAGCACAATATTTTTAGCTCTTTATCATTATCTACAATGTCCTCTACTAGGTGTTGTTTCCTTTTATAACTACAAATATTCTGAAACAGGATCTTTGTTTCGAAAGGTATAGTTCTTAGCTGTATTTGATTGTTGTTTTACTTGGGGTTTTGATATGATTGTACTGGTTGTTGAATTAGATTTTATTTCCGTTCTATTATTGCATCCTGATAGAGTTGGGTTACGTTGACTGTCTAATAGCAAGTGATATTCTTTATTAGTCTGAGTTTGCTGTTTTCCATTTATTATGAGGTTATCATTACTTAATACAGCATGATATCCTTGTTTGCGTGCTTCTTGAAGTGAGTTCCATAGGTACCGCTTCTTTTGGAGAGCTTCCCTATCTAGAAATTGACTTATTGCCAGTCCGGTATTTTTAAAATAATGTTTGCCGTCAATCGCAATCCTCATCATCCTTTTGCTCAATAGTTCTATTACAATAGGTCTTTTATTTCCTCGTTTTCCAAGTCTGTACATTTCTTCTATATATCCTGTGTAATCTACATGTAATATTTCGTATAATAACCAAACTAGTCGATCATGTAAGTCATTGTCTGACTCCCAGTAATATTCTTCAAGCCCATAAAGAACGATTTTATTTGAATTTCTTTGTAAAAATAATTCTTCATCCCTTCCGTCGTTTCGTTGCTTTTGGGAACAATTTTCAGTCTTGTTTTCCATAATTTGTAGTTTTCCTTGTAATTTATGACATTCAGATTGTAGTGTTCTAATTGTTTCATTAATGCTGTCGATGTTGCTCAATAACTCAATCTGTTTTTTTGTAATATGGTTAATTTTTTCATTGGTTTCTTCCCTTATTTTGTTTATTGCTAATGTTACTTCCGCATTTATTATATGTTTTAGTTCATAGACAAGGGAGTTCCTATTACTTTCCAGTGTTTCATTAATGAATTGTTTTAATTGTTCTAACATGGATTCCTGACCAAATGCCAGTTGCAGTTGCTTCGATTGGTTATCTTCAGTTATTGTGTCGCCTAGTATAGAAATGTCTTCCTGGGAGAGTGATAAATTCTGGCTTTTACTTTGATTAGTTTTCCTCGTAGTTATATTGCAATCATTTTGGTGATCCTGTTCTATTTGTACTAGTTTTGTGTTTTCTATACTGTATGAGTGTTGGGTTCGGATAGGTGTGTTACTGTTATCAGTTTTGGGCATTTTGCTGTAACATAGTTGGCATTTCCAGTTTTTCCGGTGTGCATCTACAAGGGTATTGCGAAATCGTTGGATTGAGACGTTGGCACAATCCAGATCATATTTATTATTACAGGTTGAACAGACAAGGAACTCTCTGTTTTGTATCTTTTGTAAACAGCCGGCACAAACATTAGGTGGTGCCATCTGGCGGTGATTTTTAGACATATTTATCTTATCGTAGTTTGCCCCTTGAATTTACTTCTATGTGTATAGTTTTAGGTATTTTAGAAAACGTTTTATAATTCTTTGCTTAATTTTTTATGGAATTATTTTCTACAAATTTTTCTATACACGTTGAATAGTTCATCTACTCCGCAATAGATGGCGCTAGTTGTCTTACGCCTGCGAAGATGTCAATGTAATTTTAATGTTCTCATTCAGTTCACTAAACCGTTATTCAATTTTAAAAGTTATGCACTGTTCATTGTTTTATTAAGGTTTTTATTAGTCACTTGACAAATTTGATAACTTTGTAATAATAATCTTCACAATTTATTGTCATTTACTTATGTTACACTTATAAATTTGTCATATTTTTATTTTTTACTTTTTTCACTGTACTTCTCAATAATATTTTTCACCAACACTTTCACTGGATATTTAGTTATTTTTTTATATAATAATACCACTTTATGGTTAAATTAACCTAATTTAATATTTTTTTTACTAAATAGGCTAGTTTACTCATGTCGAATTGTATTAAATAAATGTTTATTTCTTAAAGTATTTGGTCTAAGGAACCTAAATATATCGATTACACTTCATAAAAGCAGAAGATTGCTGTAGAAATTTAATTTTAAAAAATATTTTTAGTCTATATTTTTTAAACACTAAAAACGCTGTTCGCCACGTCCGCCATGATTTTGACGTCTCTTGTGGTAAACAACTAAAAGTCATTCGCGTGTTATTGTAGGTGGATTCTTTCGTCTGACTAAATTTATCTTAAAACACTTTTAACTTTAGGAAAGAAATAAACAGTAAACTTAGTTTTTTTTGACAAAACTAATTATGGTTGCCGGCTTTGTGAAAGCGGAAAGCACAAATCTGCCAAGAATTGATGCATTGATGGTTGGTGAATTTGTTGCACTAAACCCCGATTTCTGCTCTGCGGAGCAGAGAAACGACAAGGCATCTATGTAAGTACAGTGCATTTAGTATTACAATGTAGTAATAAACATAAAACTCATACAACATATGAATAGGTGTAATAAAGTTGCGTAGGTTAATTTCTTTCGGCACTTTAATCCACAACTTTCCTGGAGTCTTCAAGGATGTGTTTTTATATTCTCGTACAATACAGTAATGATAATTACTTTATTTTTCGTGGTATTTATTAGAAATCATGTTTTTTTTATTATATACTCAGTTTTGAGTAACTTTCTACGTGTTTACGAGTTTTTGTTTACCACAGTTCACGTCATAGCATAGATAATCTATAGACTAAAATGGCCGACAGCGTTTCTGTATGTCCATGAAAAGTCTATTTTAAAATTAAAGATTTGTAGCTTTCTAGGTTTAAAAAAAATACAATACATTTTTTTTCGGTCTAATAGAACATTTATTAACCATTTAAAACCTTTTTCCAAAAAGGGTCAACTAGCCTATTCGTACGGGAGTCAATGTTTACTAAACAGCGCCCTCTAGCGTGGTCGTCTCGTCGAAATTCCTCTAGCCATTCTTAAGCTGTAAGGCAGCGCCATCTCTTCGCATTATAGGTAACCCACAATGTCAAATGAATACTTTTACAAGTATTAAACATTTGAAAGAAGAAATAGCAATTATAGTTATAATTTTTATTTTTTTGCACGTTGCCCTCGCACTAACAACATTCTTATTAAACAAAAACAACTTAGCCTGGTAATAATATAAAACTATTTTTTAACTTTAAAGACTTAATTTCAGAGCAGTCTATTCGCTACATTTGTTTTAAATTTAAAGTACAGAAAGATATACTATTAAAAAAAATGACAAAATTACTGACCTGGACCTGTAAAGCATCACCCAAATTCAACCAGTAATGCTGCTCCATGTTACTGGGCAGCCAATAGCCAGTCATGTTGGCACCGGCCAAGTATCCCTGTTCTTCTGCCATATCAAAATGTTCGTAGCGACGCCGCGCGTCCTTCCATTGTGAATAAATGCTGGCCGCATCGCCGGCCTTTGTAGAGTAAACACGTGAAAATCAACCGCATTACGAAGCATCAGGCGCTTAGCAGACGACGGGGCGGGGCGGGCATATTGTCCGCGAAGCAATAAAGACCGCGTCTGCCCGTCGATGTCTGCGGCTGCCCGCACCGCGTACACAAAGCACACGACGGTCAGTTCAGGACCAGTGTTTCCACAATGAGGGGAAATTCCCCTTTTAAGGGGAAATTAGGATCCAGAGGGGAAGAAAAAGGGGAAATTATGGGTAAAGCCTAGCCTAAAATAATGCGGCACGGAACAAATTTTTTATAGAATAAGATAGATTAAGACCTTTGTTTTTCTTTAGTTAGTACACTAGTGCCAAATCTAAACACTACATCACAATATTTTTTGAGGGTAAAAATGTCCTAACAAGGGTAAATCTGAATTGAGGCGTGGGGAAAGGAAATCATTAAAGTGGAAACACTGTTCAGGACGTTGGTTCTAGTGAATAGTCCATCACTAAAAAGCGCGTGGCGCGGAGTGAGCTAGTCGCCCCGCGCCGCCGCACTGTGGAATATTTCGGTGTGTTTCGGATTAAAAATCTGTACCTCCGTCAATTTGAAAGATAGACTTATAAAATTTTGCTATAATATAAAGTGATACATAAGGATTCATATAAGTAATGTTTGATGAATTGGAATTATGCGTATTTTTTTAATTAAAAAAGAAAAGTCACAAAATGATTTAAAATAGTATTATTAGTATTATTTATTTATTGAAATATTTTTTAGAAACATATTGTACGTCTATTGCTTAATGCTAATTACTCTATTAAGATAACTATCATATTACATATTTTATATTGATAATATAAAATTAAAAATGGTAAAATATTTTTAACACTACGCTAACATACAGAAACAAATCAAAATTATCGCAATATATATTTCTTTTTTTTTGCTCAGCAAGATTGTCATCTTACACCCGGTGAGCTTCAGGGTCTGAAATAAGTTCATTAACCTTGAGAAGGTGTAAAGTACCTTCATCGAGCTCCTTTACATTTTTTGCATATGGTTTTCTTATGCTCGTTATATATGAATCTGAAGTGTAAAGTAGTGTATTAACACATCTTCGTTTGTAGCTATTCGAGAGCATTTCCGAGCATGGTGTAAGCGAAATTTTTTATAGTCCTCAAGAATCTCGCTTGAGCATCTTCTGAAAGTTGCCCAATTGGTAATACCGCGAAATGGTTTATGATACTCTCTCCGTGAATTAAAATTTTGTGGACAGATGATGGCATGTAATACCAACTATATTTACTAACGTATATTCTTGCAGTTTCCAGAGTATAATTACCAAATTTCTTACTATCTACCACTATACCAGATGACAAAGCCTGCAAAATTAAATATATCCGTTTAATTAAATCAATGTCAATCTCTGTGATATCAGCAGAACAGGCAGCATTGTAAAAAAAAATCTCGTAGCAGTATTGCCATCTCTCTGCATCAGCCAACCTTAATTTTTCAACAACTAATGCTTCAATTCCTTCTCCTATAGAACGCAATCCTTGAAGATATGCGCTTAGAATGTGCTCCAAACCATATTCATTTAGCAAAATGGTGTTTTTTCTTTTTTTGCTTGATTCTGAAGAGTCTCCATATGACACACACGGTCTTCCTCGTTTACCAGAAGAAGTAGACGGTGTAGAGTCTGTTGACACGTTTTCTGATGTTGGTATAGTTAACAAATATTCAGAATCCAACCAATTGGTGTTCTTTCTTAAAAAGGTATTTTTATTGCGTCCTGCTTCACTTCAGCGTTTATTAAACGAAGGGATGACATCCCTTTGAATATGGTCAATAATAAAACATATATTGACATCCGAAATTTGTTTTCCCTCCAAATATGTTGAAAGTGCCGCAGTCGTTTTTCCGCCTTCTATATAAGACACTATTAACTCACGTTTAGTACAGTTAAAAGTAGACATGTTGAATAATGAAATAACCGTACCTACTAGAGTACGTAGACGTAAAGACCACTGAAACGGTAATGGAGACATATTTTTTCACTGCCCTTTTTATATTGTTTCAGAATGTGGGAATTATTTCAGATATCTATTTTCTCACGGAAAATGACATCGAAATGATAAAACCTACATAACAATATCAAATAATTAATTCATAAAATGTACCACAAACTATTGATAATAAAAGTAAACTACGAAACCGCATTTGATAGCGATTTCCGTTCCCAGACTAGTATTCGATTTTTTCACATATCTCCGAAAACCGCAAAAAGCCGCAGCTAATTTTTTTATATGTTTTAGATGAGTAACTAACCTATAATTTAACATTAAATTCAAAGCATCGGTAAACAACTCTAAATGTTAAAAGATTCGACGAAGTTAAGAAAAAAAAATATTTCTCCATTTTTTCTTTAAATTGGTTTTTAAATTTATATTCGTATTAAAAACAATCAGTTGTATTTATTTCAAACCTCTGATAAATGTGCTTTTCAAAAATATGTAATACCTTATACCTTTCATTTCAAGTTTTAAAACTATTTCACGTTGAAAAACGTAAATGAAGAACTTAATATTTCCCAGCTGCCTAAACGTTTAACTTTGCTACATGAAATAAAATACTTTTACGAAATAAAATATGAATTACGCTGCAGAATATTAAACTTCGACTTTTGAACTATTAAATTATATTCATATATTACCCAATTTCAATCAGTAATAAAAATCAATTTTGATATGCGTTTGTTCTACCATATTCCACAGTGCGCCGCACTATGTGGAGATCGAGTCGGTTTCGGGTCATAAATCTATAACTTCCATGTTTTTATAGATATACAGCTGATTTTTTTTTTAGGTAATCTGAGATAAACGTACTTTAAAATAATATACAGTCTATGCATATAAAAATATATTTAATAATTGTAAAAAAATACAAAACATGAAATATTGAAAAATTATCATAAATTTACGACTAATTTTAAACAATGTGACCTAAATGTTATAATTAATACAAAAAAAACACATAAAATTACTCTTATTAATTAAATATAATAAGAAAAAGAAAATAACATAGAATTATATTATTCTACTAGCTCTACAGCTTCATCTATAAGTTCCATAGACTTTTTATTGGAAGGTTTTCTTAAACTTGTTATGTAAGGGTCTGAAGTGTACAAAAGTGTATGTAAAACGTCTTCATTTGTAGCTACTCTAGAGCATTTTCTAGCATGATGAAGTCTGAATCGTTTATAGTCTTTGTTCCTTGATTCCTGGGCATCTTCGGAGAGCTGTCCAAGAGGTAACACTGGATAATGCCGAATTACACTTTCCCCATGAATTAGGACTTTATGGACAGAAGATGGCATACAATACCACATATATTTACTAACATATCGTTGTGCTGTATCGAAAGCATACTGTCCAAATTTCGTAGCATTAATTACTTTTCCGCTAGACATAACTTGAAGTAAAACATAAAATCGTTTTATCAATTCCTCATCCACACCGGTAATTTCTGCAGTGCACTGATAATTTTGAAAAAATCGTCTAGCTGTATTACCGTCATTACTGTTACCAGAACCTTGCTTAGGTTTATCTATATTTAAACCAAGTTCTTCTCTGAACCTTCTTTGTACATATGTCTTCTTTTGTTTTTTCAAATCTTTATTTTCTGTCGTTGTAGCAGACCATTTTACAAAGTCTACATTATAAGATATATGTAAAATTAGTTCCATGAATCTAATCCAGCAATGTAAAGTCGAAAGCCCATATTGATAAGAATTTTCGTCAACAGGTTTATTTTGTACTTTTTCTAAATTGTTCATCTCTGTAGGTCTTGCACCACAAATAGTACATACAGCACCTGATGAAGTTTCTGACAAAACTTGAGCCACTTTCCCGTCAACCATTGTCAAAAATAATGTGTGTTTGATTTCAATACTTCCACCATTTTTATTGATTAAGCTTGTTGTGAGAGCGTTTCTTTGAGCTATAATTTCATTAACTACATTTGTAGTTTTCTCTGGTGTCTCTTTTGAAAATTCTTTTAAAATGGGCCTACAAAATCTTACTGATGATGGAACAGGGTTTTCCCACAAAGTTTCATTTGTATTAATATCAACAAGTTTCAGAGGTACTAATGAAGATATAAATAAATTTGTGTCAGAAATTAACTCATCCTCTTCAGTTAAGACTTGCTTGTATTCACTTTGTCTGCTTGGGCCATCACAGCCCCATTTCGAATACAGCATTAAACCATTGATTTTCAAAATTCTCGCAATAGTGTGATCCAGCAGATCTTGCAGTTTTATTTTTGCTGTAATATTATTAATTTCTATGCTTGATCTTGGTGGGTAGCACATTCCTTTAGCTTCCTGAAATGATTTATATGACGGAAATAATACGCAGTTCTTGGCAATTAAGCAATTTCTCATGTTTTCATACTGTGCCATGTTAAGGTCCAACTCTATAAAAATACTGAGAGATTCATCTTTAGAGTACGCTGTTAAATGTGCCGGTTCATTTAAAAGATTTTGACGTATTTCACTTTTTTTATCTATGGGTAATACTCGTAAAATTTCGGCAATGAATGCTTCTTCCGTTTCCCCTTGAGATCTCAATCCTTGAAGATATGAATTCAGTATAAAATCAAGGCCACATGTTTCAAGCAACTCCCTTGTTTTTTCGTCTTTGTGTTCTATCGGAACTGTCTTCGTAGGTTTTAGAAGGGCGTCCTCGCTTCCCCGTCGATGTCGAAGGTTCAGATTCTCAAGTAGGATCTTCCAGATTTACTGTGAATGTGGCATTCAACCACAGGCTATTCTGATTTAAAAAAAAATCTTTATTTCTGCCAGATTTAGTGTAGCGTTGACGAAAGTTCGTAATAAGATTTTTTTGTACACTCGCGACAATTTTAGCGATATTTGCCTCAGAAAAGTTGATAAAATTATTCCGTATATAACTTGTTAAAGCAACAACATAATTCCCGTCACTTTCAATAAAAACAAGACATAGGTCGCGTCTGGTACATTGGAATTCACTCATTGCGAGAGAGTAGGTGGTTAGATACACTTTTAGTAACGACAATAACGAACGAAAAACAGTATGTAATTATTCAGTATGCAGATGCTCTATTTTATATTAAATAACTGATTTGAAACGTATGCAAAGTATGGGAATAAAAACTATTTATCATTATGTGGTTACTCGGTTTCCTATGTGTTTTATTGATAATTTATTTTGTAGGCGAACTAAAAATGGTGAGAAATACTCGATACATTATCAAAACATAAACCGCAATTAATAATATATCACAAGTGTAACCTATATCAACTAATAAAACAAATAGATTCGCCCACGTATTTTTAACAAATTATTACTATTTCATGTTAAGATAGATAGCATTATGTTGTGCAATGAAGTTGCAACTTTTTTTTTCTTCCTGTATAAAAATATTAAATTTCCTATCAAATAACATCATTTACAGACCTTCGGCAAATTTCGGCAACTGTCAAAACTCTAATTGAAAGTTTCAGATACGCAAAAATGATATGTCATGAGATAAATATTTCTAGTAAATATATTTATAAATATATAGCATATTTGTGTAAACCAAAAAAAAGTATATATTATAAGCTTTCTAAAATGGTATAATACTTGTATAATTTTTATTGCTAGCTTACTAGAAAATCATCCTGAAAAAAATACAAATTATGATGTTTTCGTGATAATTTTTCAATCATCGTATTTAGATGCTCTTTACTATAAAAAAGTACTAGTTACATACATAATTTATACATAATATAGTAGATCAACTTCTTAGCTATAGTTTGAGGTATAATACAAGTACCTGCGCCGATTATTACAAAATGTATTTATGGCCAAGCTCTCTTAGGCACCTCCACATAGTGCGCCGTCTGCGTTACTGCATATAAACTGGTTTGTATGATCCACGGCGGGCAGCCGCGGACATGCCGCGCCGTCACTGCCCGCCGGGCACCCAAGGCGCGGTCTTTTTGCCCTCTGTGTGCGTTTGAAGTATAGGATTCACTTTGTGCTATTATTCGCGGCGAAATTGACCGGCCCGCCCCGCCCCGTCGTCTGCAAAGTGCCTAATGCGATTCAACTAAGAATAGGAGCGACTGGGCGCCATATTTTGATGTCATAGCTGTCAATTCAAACCAAATAGGTAGAGTGAGCAAAATAATTTTACTATTTAATAAAACTTATTTACTAAGATTAAGTGAGACAAAACATCAGATTTTTTAATAAAATTAATTTAATAAGGCTGACAAAGAACACAACCGATTATTAATAGTATTTTTTTATTAAGACTGTGTGAAAATAATCATTAATCAGAATCTAGTTCTTCAATTTCGCTCATCTCTGCATTACCGCCGGAGAAGTTATGAATAATCATGCAGGTCACATACAAACATGCATCCTATATGTAAACGAAAGTTTTAAATCGAGTTTCTGAACGCAACATAAAGTAACATTTGGTTGACGATTTAGGTTATCAACCATTCTTATCCAAAGCTCAATAAATGAAAAAAAAGTCAACTTATATTAATTAACAACACTTGTTATTCTTTGTTTTAAAATGTTTGGTTTTTATTCTAGAATCAGCTGAGTGCTCCGAGTTTTTTTTGCAAACCGTACTTTTCAAGCGACATTTGACAGATGGAGGTCATTGGCTTTCCTATTCTTATTTGAATCGCATTATAACTAGACATTTTTACAACGTATAAGAAATAATACGGAATACGAGCTACGCTAAAATGTAGTTCCATGCAATCTGCGATCAAGTGGGCGGGGCATAAAAAACTGCGATCAACACGCCGATCATGGTTGGGATATCTGTTTACAATATCTTACCCAATGAATGGAGAGCCGAATTCATTTGCAGATATTTGATTTGTCAAAGGACATGGCTAAGAAACTGCCCTTAACGTGTATAAATATTTGGCACTAGCCCGTAACTTTACAATATTTTTTTATTAATTATTACGTGTTTATTATTCTCCTACAACTTTTGTCAAATAATCAAATATTTAAAAGTATAAAAATTGACATCGTGTCTGTGTCAAAAGCAAAATGTTCCGTTTTTGATAAAATAAATTAACAATAAATAATAAATAAATAAATATTTCCGACACTCACACCAATTAGCCTAGCCCCAAAGTAAGCACTATAAGGCTTGTGTTATGGGATGCTAGGGTAACGGATAGAATACATATACTGTACATATATAAGTATATTTATATAAATACATATTAAACATCCATGACTGGAGTACAAATGCTCGTATTCATCACACAAACATCTGCCCCCACCGGGATTCGAACCTGGGACCTCTCGAGTCGACGACAGCCATGAAACCCGGCGTACAAACCACTCGGCCACGGAGGTCGTCTCAAGCACAACAAATGTACACAAAGAATATTTGTGTAAGTATATCGAAATAAACAATATTATTTCTAAACTCCTTCAAACTAGACATATTTGGCCCTAAATTTTGTTATAACAAATCACTGAAGGCCTAAAATAATAGATTTTATTATTCTGATCAGGCTTGAGACAAGGCTGTATGATAATTAATCCTTTAATTTTTGCAAATGGACAAAATAAAACTAAACAAAAGCAAAACTAAATAAGGCTGTATGTAGTAGTAGTGCGTTAGTATTGAAGTTTAGCTGTATGAGTTTGGAACCATGTTTTAGCGGCTTCAATTAGAGATTAATGCTTCCATATCATTTCTAATTCGTTGCATTTTTACCATACAAAACAAAACTTTTTGTGGGTAATATATTCGTAATGACGATAAGCGTTCTGCCATCGTGAGTAGACCGCGTCGCCGGCCCTTAAAAAGAAAATACGAGAAAAGCAACCGTACCACGGAGTTCAAAAATTATTTAAACAAAAAATAAAATCGACTTCAATATCGAAAATGGAACTAAAAATAAAACTAGTTTTTACGGGTTAATGCACGAAACTGTATTTATTTATTGACGTTTCGTAGACTTTACAGGCTACGTCGTCAGAATCAAACTTATATTTAATTTGTCGAGCTACCTTCGAAAGACTTATTGAGCGTTCGGTTATTTCATTGTTCGATTTTTAAAGTTTTATTGTCTATGTATGAATTTATTATTTAATTTCCTTAATAAAGTATTATTTAAAATTCTTTTTTTTAAATAAAAGTTTGATTCTGACTCAATTGAATTTGATTCAATAAATAAATAAAGTTTCGTGCATTAACCCGTAAAAACTAGTTTTATTTAATGAGTGATGTGCGTGAAAACCTAAGAAACAAATATGGAACTGGAAAAGTAAACTTTACTTTTTAGTTCCATTTGTGATTTTGAAGTCGGTTTTTTTTTCATCCATTTTAGTGAAAATTACATCGTCCAAGTAAACAATAACACAAATTGACGGAGAAATCGGTGAACACGCATACAAAAAAACATCGTGCGTGCCTCTGAAATTTGAAGGTTTCCCTCGATTTCCCTCGATTCCACCATAAGATCCCGACTTGGTTCCAATGGGACCACCTCGGAAGTGCATTCTTTCGAATAAAAAAAAAATCTCTCTCGAGTTCCTCCATGCTCCGGAAGTCCGGAAGGCACGTTAAGCCGTTGGTCCCGGCATCTGCAGTCCGCCAATCCGCACTGGGCCCGCGTGTGAGTCATAGCCTAATCTCCCTATTCCATCTATAGAGAAGGCCTGGGAGCCAATCGCCTAACGGAAATGCTTTGGAAAACGCTAACGCTTACGATTTTATTTTGTTATTTTTAGCCGCCTGAGGTATTCAAATGCCTCGCGCTCTTTCTTTTTCTTTTGCATTGGTAATATCACTATTTAAAAAAATGAGCGTGAGGTATTCGAAAACCTCAGGCGGCTAGAAATAACAATATAAAATCGAAAGCGTTAGCGTTTCCCTTAAGCATTTCCGTTAGGCGATTGGCCCCCTGTGCTCCAGCAGTGGGTACATTAATAGGCTGATGATGATGATGAACATACCACATAGAGATGCGTCCTGGCCTCCAGTTCCGTGTTCACCAAGAATCCTCCGTTGATATCGTCAGTTTCTAGGAACGACGGCTGTGCCATCTCTGTACGTGGTTCTGCGCCGAGTGCTACGAAAACCTACAATAAACATTTGTGTAATAGGGATGATGACTAATTTTTTTTTCTTCGTTTATCAGGTAGATTATCAAAAAGTATTGGACACGTATTTTTTTATTTTTTCACATAATATAAACATTGCAGAGATATATTGATTTGAATAGTCGCATGACGTCACGTTTGAGTACAGTTTTATGTGAAAATTCACTAAAAATTGACGTCACGAGCCCCTACTCCCAAACTTTGACGCGCTATAACTTGGGTCATTTTTTGGTTGATTGCCCAAAGAAAAAATACGTGTCCATTATTTTTTGATCATCTAACTGACGGACTAAATAGAATTTCGTTTACTGTACCCCGTCATCACCCCTATTATAGTTTAACAGTAAATTTTAGGGTCCGTGGCATGCCCAGACATTTAATCGCAAGTTTATGCATATATGTAGTAGGTACTTATGTTGAGACATTTGATCGTCCATAAGTGCACTTTTAGAAGAGATTATTTCAATGTAAAAATCATTTTTTGAAGTTATACTTCTTTAGGCGCGTTATGAAAAAATGATGAGAGTGAAATTTTAAGATGCGCGCGCATCACTGTAACACAACATTTTAACAGCATGAAGTTATTGTGTTTACCGCACATTAAGAAAATCTACCAACAAAATAGAAATAGAATCTCTATTTAGTGGGTGCTAACGACTGCATTGTGAAGGCCTATCAAAAGTATTTATTAATCTGGAACAACGGAACCAAAGCGCGATTCAGGAGACTACAGCGCCATCTCTTGACCATTGGTGTAGTAGAACCAAAAACCACATCTTTATTTTTTGTAATAAAGTAACAGTTATAGGTATTCATATTTATAATATTTATCCACATGTTTCTAGTTTGTATATTCGGAATACGTGTTTCAGTTTCATACAAGTGCAAATCACATATGTTCTAATCTCTTATCTAATAGACAAGTCCGTCCGTCCGTCCGTGGTGCTGTTTCAGCGGCCAAACCGTAAGAGATAGATATAGAGAATGTTTATTTATTTATTGAATTATGTTGAATATTTTGATTATTTATTTATTTTTTCAAATTAAAACTGAACTTTATTGACTGTGTCCTTTTCCAGACTTTTTATTAATTTATTGTAATTAATTATTTGCATGCAATTAAAACTAATTTTAAACGATGCCAAAGAAGGATAACTTCTCACACGCCTACATAAGTACACGCACCCATTTTTTTTTCCAATGGTCTTTATTACTCTACGACTAGCATTACAAGTTAATTTAAAGTCACTATACAATCGACGTGTTGTCGGACGCAAACGCATGATCAGCGAACCACTAATTAACAAAAATAAAACTTCGAATTGCCTCATCTCTTATCTATTAGACAAGTCCGTCCGTCTGTCCGTCTGTGGTGCTGTTTCAGCGGCCAAACCGTAAGAGATAGATAAAGAGAATGTTTAAGTTATAAGTTAAGAATAGTCTGATAAGACTACAAACCGGATTTGAGTAACGTAGCACTTCCGGTTTTCGAGAAATCACGAATTTCAAACGAAACCACACAAAATCTCCGAAGTTCTCAATTAATTAAATACATTTTTTTTTAAATCAAGTTTTGGTGAACATTTGGTTCACTGGTTTGCTAGTACATACATAACATAACGCCAGATGAAATTATTTTAAGCACGAAGATACTCACATAGTCGGCGACGAGGGAAGTGCCATTGGATAACGTCAATTCCACCCGCCCGTCGGCAGACTCGAACGCGTCGTACACTTGAGCTGCGCAATTAATCAAAGGTAGGCTTGTTGAAAATATATCGATGTATCGATATATTGATATTTTTTGTTCGATATATCGATATTTTTTGCCGATATATTTTGATTCGATATATCGATACATCGATACAAAATAACCAATATCGAAATTCGTAACAAGAACGATATTTTTTTAATTATTAGCGGCATATCACGATCTAACTAAATTCGTATCTAGAAAAATCGTAACTGGATCTCAGATTAATGATATACAACATATCTGTGATCTGTGCTGTATTTAGTATTGTCTATGTCATCATTCGAAAATAGGGTCTATTTTTAGGGAGATAATTTTCGTTCCATTATTATTCCGCGTGTCATATTTCGTGAGCTACTGTACGATATTTTTGGGAAAATTGGTCCGATATATCGATATATCGATGTTTTATTCGCGATATATCGAAGATATATCGCGATATATCGATATTGATATTTTTTAAAAGATCGATATATCGATATTTTTTTCAACTTTCGACATCCCTAATCAAAGGTAAAAAATAAAGCCTGTTAAAACAGAGAACAGTTTTTTGTAGTTGTAGTGTCAATTCGTTTTTTCGTCCATTCGTGTGTCAGAACATAAATTTAGATGCGAGGCGCGATGATATACATAATTTCAATACCAGAAATAAAGATAAACTCAAATTGCCACCATTGAGACTCCAAAAGGTTTTTGGTTCATTTGTGGGTCAAGGTATATGTTACTATAATAAAATACCAAAAAAATAATTAATTTACCTTTTACTAAGTTTAAAGTGTGTATAAAAACATGTCTCCTTAAGAAAGGTTACTATGCTGTTAAAGATTTCATAAATGATAAGTCACCTTGGGCTTAATATAATAGACTAAGTCGTTTTACTTTGCTAATTTGGTTAAAAATTGTTTAATCGCCACTTCTAAATTTAAAAATAGTACCTAGCTATACTTAACTTTTGTTAATTAATAATATTAATGTAATGGAAGTTGACATCAACACATGTATTCAATTTTTGATGTCATCTTTCAATTGACGACACTGTACTGTAAAACGGGGAGAAAAAAATAACCCTTGCTGAGTTTCTTGCCGGTTCTTCTCAGTACAAAGTCTCCCGCCGTAGATTTACGAACCGATGGCGTAGCGTTTGACTTTCACAAGAGCTTGTAACAGCCTAGACTGAATAAATGAGTTTGAGTTTTCAATTAAAGATTGTAAAAACACACGTGTAAATGTAAATCCAGGAGCAGGGGAGCCGAAGCGGGGATTTTAGGTTTTACTCGCGTGCGGCAGATTAACATAAGGGGTAACTATGGAGCAAAAACAACTTTGCACCTTGAGAAGTACTTCCACCATCAGCTATGGTGCTCAGGAGCTTTCGATGTAGGGACGAAAATCTAGGGCAACAAAGAAAAATTCAACAAACCGCCATTGCTTTTGGTTGCGTCCAAATAGGGGTGATGACGGGGTACAGTAAACGAAATTCTATTTAGCCCGTCAGTTAGATGATCAAAAAATAATGGACACGTATTTTTTCTTTGGGCAATCAACCAAAAAATGACAAAGTTATAGCGCGTCAAAGTTTGGGAGTAGGGGCTCGTGACGTCACTTTTGAGTGAATTTTCACTTATAAGTGTACTCAAAGTGACGTCATGCGACTTTTCAAATCAATAGATCTCTGCAATACTCTAAATCCTCTTTGATAATCTACCTGATAAACGAAGAAAAAAAAATTAGTCATCATCCCTATTGTCAGTCTTTGGTAATGAGCTACTAGAGGGTTTCACATATAACATTCCTTCTCAATACCTGACGCGCTCGAATATTTTTTTGCTACATTCTACCTTGCAAACCGGCAGATCAATATTTTTTCCGTCCTCAGAAACGTTACGTGAACTCTCCAGTAGCTTCTATTCAAAGGACTGGCGATTCGGACGCAACCGAAAGTATGGCCGCTTGTTTATCTTCCACGCTTGAGGCAATTCGAAAATCCTCGCTTGGGCTCCCGTACTATAGAGCAGTCTCTAACACACTTATTAAAGGACTTTGGGCAAAAATGTATGGACGCTGCACCCACGTCCGCCACGGCTTAAACTACATTTGTTTGAAAGATATAATAGTCAAGATCATATGTGCCAAAGCGCATCAAATTCCATCCCGGGGGTCTTTAGTTTTTTTAAGTTAAATATGTACAAGTACTATAACGAACGGGCATTAATGAAACAATGTAATAATTTAGTTAGTTAGTTCGGCCCTACATAGGGTGCTCAGGAATTATGGGAGTACTTCACAAGGTGCAAGGGTGCCCCCTTATGTTATTCTGCCGCACTAGAGTAAATTCAAAAATCCCCGCATGGATTGTTTTTTTTTAAACATTCTGTTCGTTATATCAAATTGTCTTCTATGTAAAAGGGAGCGACCACAGATTACACAAACTTGTTCGTTTGGGAGAAGACATGATTCCAGTTCATCCATACTAATTGACAAAACCGATAATCGTGTTCCAATATCCAAAGCGTGTTAGATAAAAGTGACAGGGAGCAGACAATCACAACGAAGTAAGACGAGTCGACTATTTGCAACTGCAAGTCCTTCATCATCCGTAAACCGTTTTGAAATGTCTCAGTAAGAGCAAGCGCAGGATGTTCGGCAGGCTTTGTCGTATATCTGGTTGTATAGTTCGATATGGCATATTATTATGATTACTAATAATATAAAATGAAGGTACTAATATAAAATTAATTTATTCAGCTACTTAAATATGTGTCATATCTATTGACTACCAGGATATTTTTTACGGTGTCATATCTTTTGACTCCCAGGATATTTATTTTCGGTGTCATACTAAAAAAAGGCTAGTTGTTCATAGATCTATCGATTCATACTAATTACATTGTTGGCGGAGCTAGGTGCGTTTTGCCCATTGTTCTTTCACTGACAAAGCGGAGTCAACTAAGCGGCGGGCTTCGCGGCATTCACGCGTCGACAACCTGGCGTTCAATGGTTGACAACGAGACGTCCACCCGTGACCCACCCGGCGTTAGATGGTTGACAACTCGTCGACAATGAGTGGATGTCACGCGACGAGGCGGTACCAGGTGGCTTTGAATGAGCTGTGATCTTAAGGCTTCGTTTCCATCAGAGATGTGCGAGGTTGCGTAGCAAGGAGTGTGCTTGCAACGGTTTGTAAATAATCAAAAGAATCGCTTCATTTACCTCACCTTGGCTTAGCAGAACGAGTTTTCTATACATAGTACAAAACAAGCGAGGCATGTGTCTAAAGAATGTGTGCGAACTTCGTGGTGTGAGAAATGTGTGCTTACTTCGTACTGTGAGGAATGTTCTATTATTTAAATAGACATATAGAAGTTAAATAGAAAATACTCACTTTTAGGCAACACGGTGACTCCCTCACACTTGATCTTCTCTACGGCCCATTCGCCCAAGTACTCGGGTATCACGCTGGACAGAATGCCCTTATCCTTGAAGATGTGCACGAATTCTATGGGCTCCTCCTCTTCTTTACGCGGCACCACTTTATCTGTGCGTTATTAATGTGTCAGTGTCATATCACCAAATAAAATACACATGACATTATTGTCTGGCAATAGAAACAGTCGTATTAATTTCAAATTGTTTACAATATTCTCGACAACATATACGTAAGAATCAGTCCTCAGACTGTAAGATTCAAAATTCAATAAATTCAATATCGTTTATTAAGTCTAGGCTGTTACAAGCACTTGTGAATGTCGAAAAGCTACGCCATCGGTTCGCAAATCTACGGCGGGAGACCTTGTACTGAGAAGAACCGGCAAGAAACTCAACAAGGGCTGTTTTTTTCTCCCTGTATTGTATACAGAGTCGTCAAATTGAAAAATGACTTCAATATGAGGTAACTCATAAAGTCACTTTCCATTACAAATGCTAATATAATAAAAATTATGACTATATAAAAAACTAGTTTAACAAAGTTTAGGAATGCCGTGTCCTGCTGTTTAGGCAAAAAAAAAAAGAATGATTAAAGTTTAGTACAACGGTTAATAGTATCCAATGAAGCAAGAGCAGACTCATCTCCGCTGGCAGCACCCGTTCACGAGCATGACGCATGAACCAGCCATCGCTTCGCTCAACCATTTTTTAGGGAACGCAACGACCCGCCTCACACGACACCACCGAAGAGATTTTTAAGAGAGCATGACTACTCATAACCACACATGGATACTATGTTACAAAGATAGAAAAAATAATATATATAAGTACCAGAGTACATTATTATAACAAATTATAAACATAACGGCAGGACACATGCATGTGATTACCCAAACACTGTTGTCGATTCTGGCACTACTCTCCCAACCCAAAACGTAAAATAATGCCACCCTGATATCTGAAAATTGGCCCACAGCACATGTAAGCAAGTATGTACACGTTCATGGAGAATATGAATAAGGTCTGGCGGTCTTTGGATCTTGTACTATTACTTCTAAATAAGTATGTTACATTATTTAGTAACAAGTTTTCAAAAAGGTGGTGTTTAAAGAATTTGAAAATAATAAAATGGGACTAACTCATCCTGCCTAGATGCCACGCCAGCTCACTTCCAAGAACTCCTCCGCCTATGATGACCACACGCTTCGATGCCTTGACCTTTCTGTATGCAATCTCTAAGTCCCTGATAGTCCGCAGCGTAGTCACTCGGTCACGAACCGCTTTTGGGGCCGACTTGAAGACGCTTAGGTTCTTTGGTTTGGACCCTGTGAACATATATAAGCACAGAAAAAAGATAGAGGTTAGAATGGCCTTGTGGGCACCACAGCTGTGTAAGCAAATGGTCCTAATTTGACCAAAACTTGGTTCGGATAGCGTCGTTGCTCTCTTTTATCATAAAAATATAAAATAAAACTCAAAAATCACAGTTTGTCATAAATGTTATTTATTTAAAACTAGTTTTTATAGGTTAATGCACGAAACTTTATTTATTTATTGACGTTTCGTAGCCTTTACAGGCTTCGTCGTAATAAAAGTCTTTCGAAGGTAGCTCGACAAATTAAATAAAAGTTTTATTCTGACGACGAAGCCTGTAAAGGCTACGAAACGTCAATAAATAAAATTTCGTGCATTAACCCGTAAAAACTAGTTTTATTTAATGAGTGATGTGCGTGAAAACCTAAGAAACAAATATGTTATATATTTTTTCGCCATTTGTTATCAAGAAAATGACAACAATATAGTTTAGCCGTTTGTAGAGAGAGAAAAGAAAATCGCTTGGCTGTCGTCAAGCCAAGCGACGCGGACTCGCCGTCTCGCTCGCGCTGCGTTAAAGCGTATAGTTCTGTCTCGCTCGCTCAATTGAATGTTTATTTACAGAAGTGTGCATGCTCGAGAGTTTCTTATGTATTTGTTTCTTAGGTTTTCACGCACATCACTCATTAAATAAAACTAGTTTTTACGGGTTAATGCACGAAACTTTATATGATTTCAGAGATTCTGACGACGAAGCCTGTAAAGGCTACGAAACGAAACGTCAATAAATAAATAAAGTTTCGTGCATTAACCCGTAAAAACTAGTTTTATTTAGTTTCTTATGTAGTTGAGTCGGAGCATATTTTATTTGATGCTAGTATGAGCGGACCGTATCTTCCCTTTTTGTTTTAATCTAAGGTCGTCGGTAAATATAGGAACGAACCTATATAATGCGATTCAAATAAGAATAGGAAAGCCAATGACCTCTATCTGTCAAATGTAGCTTGAAAAGTACGGTTTGCAAAAAAAATCTTGGAACCCTTTTTTAGCACTCCGCTAATTCAAGATTAAAAACTCAAAAATTTGTAAACAAACAATAACAAATATTGATAATTAATATCGGTTGATATATTTTTTTCACTTATTGAGCTTTGGCCATGAATGGTTGATAACCTAAATCGTCAATCAAATGTCACTATAACTTGCGTTCAGAAACTCGATTTCAAACTTTCGTTTACATAATATGCATGTTCATATGTGACCTAGTGCATGATTATTCATAACTACTCCGGCGGTAATGCAGAGATGAGCGGAATAGAAGAGCTAGATTCTGATTAATGTTTTTTCACACAGTCTTAATAAATAAATATTATTAAAAATCGGGGGGTCGTTTTTTCTCAATCTTACTAAATAAATGTTATTAAAAATATCTGATGGTTTTTCTCACTTAATGTTAGTTATTAATTTTATTAAATAAAAACTTTTTTTTTGCTCACTCTACCTATTCGGTTTAAATTGACAGCTATGACATCACAATATGGCGCCCAGTCGGTCCTTTTCTTAGTTGAATCGCATTATACAAAAATTCGGGAATTAGGATTGGACATAAGTGGCTGCCCGGAAACAGAAAAGACAACTTATGCGTATTTTTTTATGTCTGACCTTTTTATTGTTCTTCATTCTAAGTAATGAAAATGAAAAAATGAAAAATACTTTATTTCTATAACCAATATTATGCTAGTGATACAATATTTGAGAGCCCCTAGTAGACAATTTATTTGCCTGTGTCAGGAACTCTCGCTCTTCCATAACTCTTCCAAAGTTAATACCATATTGGTTACAAATATATAACGACACGTTATTTGTTTAGTCTAATGTATTCAATATATCTGTTATGTCTGCGTTTGTGTGTGAGTGTGAATGAGTGAGTGTGCGTTTGTGTGTGTGTGTTTGTGTGTGTGTGTGTGTGTGTGTGTGTGTGTGTGTGTGTGTGTGTGTGTGTGATCGATTATTATAAATTTTGAAGCAAGTTTTCAGTATCATTATAGTTCTTAGTTTTTAACCAAGTAAGTACATTTTTTTTACAATCATACATATTGAGATTAGATATACCTAGCTTTTTATTTACTTCATGTCATGGTCATGGCCCAATCTCCCTATTCCATCCATCCATAGGAAAGGCCTGTGCCCCAGCAGTGGGTACATTAATAGGCTGATGATGACTCCTTCATTGCCCCAGGGCCCCCACATCTCTAAATGCGGCCCTGGTTCAGGTTTAACTTAAGTCTCCGTTTTGTAATAAGGCGATATCTCTAATATATAAAATTCTCGTGTCGCGGTGTTTGTGGTTAAACTCCTCCGAAACGGCATTCCCGATTCTCATGAAATTTTGTATGCATATTGGGTAGGTCTGAGAATCGGACAACATCTATTTTTCATCCCCCTAAATGTTAAGGGTAATCCACCCCTAATTTTTTTTTTCAATTCTAGATATATTTTTTTATGATACATCATACAAAAATACATACAACCCTAAATTTTCACCATTCTACCACCAACCCCTATTTTTTTATGGCGGTACGAAGTTCGCTGGATCAGCTAGTATGTTATACAGACCTGGAGCCAGCAAGCACCTCTCGTAGTATATAGGCTGTTCACCGCACATAGTCTTGACGTAAGCGACATGATTCTCAGCATCCACTCTCTGCACGCACCAGCCTGAGGCGATCGACACGGCGGGCCCCACCTTCTGGCGGTAGAACAGTATGGGGTCCAAGAAAGTGCTGCAGTCCGCGTAATACATTCTGCGAACAATAATAGAATAGGTTTAATTTAAAAATTTTAACAAATCCACTGACGACAATAAAAATTAATGCTATTTTGGGTAAAACTGTACTTCCAGGGCCCAAAAGGTGATACTTGTTTTTTTTTTTGTAGAAAAGGTCTTTTTAACAGTTTTTTTTTTCTGGCGCTTCGCCGGCCGCTGCCGCGGCACGCTCGCTTTGCTCGCTCGGCTCGCGCGTTATGGTCACAACACTAACCTAACCTAACCTAGTGTGAAGTATCACCACTTGATAAGAAAAGTAAAAATTTTCAGTATTTTTTTCTAAAAAACTACCAGTGCATAAGTGTGACAGTTTTTTAAATAATGTGGTTAACAGAAACCTTTTTAACAACAAAAATGCGAAATTATAACCAACAATACTGTGAAGTTTTTACTTTTGGGCCCTGGAAGTACAGTAGGTATATCCAATAATAGAATAGGTTCAGTTTAAAAATTTTAACAAATCCACTGACGACAATAAAAATTAATGCTATTTTGTTTTAAACTTTCATGGTCACTAACATTATAGTTATTAACGGGATTATTACCATGCTTGTTTTTTGAGTCGTAAAGTATCAAAGGGTGCGGCCAGAGTGCACTCAGATTCAGATTCAGATTCCGAAAACAAGCGCGAGAAATAAACAGTGTAGTTGAAGGGTACGGCCAGAGTGCACTCCTGATTCAGATTCAGATTCGGACTCAGAAAACAAAGCGCGAGAAAAAGCAGGCAACCTGCTTATCAACCTGCTTAGACTACACTGTTTATTTCTCGCGCTTGTTTTCAGAATCTGAATCTGAATCTGAATCTGAGTGCACTCTGGCCGCACCCGAAGGCGGCAAAGTAGGGCGAACCAAATATTTGGCAAATCAAAAAAAAATCTGTTTAGTCTCGTCTTTAAGGGAGGATTTTTATAATTGACATTTCACTACGATTTATAGATGAATGTAAAACAGATTTTTTTGATTTGCCAAATATTTGGTTCGCCCTACTTTGCCGCCTTTGATACTATACGACTCTTATGAGTCTCCGATATTTCGGCACTGTTGCAAGCGCCATGATCACGGAGTAACTGAAGTAATTGCGGGTAGATGTTTTTGGCAGACATATCGGTCTACCCTCTGACGTTGTCTTTTACTGCGCTCGATACCCGTACCATTGGTCACATTCTCACTATTCACTCGCCTGTTCCAGACACACAATACTCACAGTATCAGATCGCGGAACGACATTTTTTTGATTTTTGCAGTTTTTGCACATACGAACCATTGGATTCCAGACACTTGACAATTTAAACCCATCCTCACGATTGAAATTTTTGTGTTTGGTACTTCGGTTACTCCGTGATCATGGAGCTTGCAACAGTGCCGAAATATCGGAGAATCATAAAAAACAAGGTGCATGGTAACAATCCCGTTAATAGCTATAAAAATTAATGCTTCCTTGTCGTGTTATGCTATTGTATAATTCGTATTTAATTACCGACTTCCGGAATCTACCTTTATTTCCATTTATTTCCCATCAGCGGCCACCCGCGATTATGTCCGCATTAACTTTAGTTTTTTGTAAATCGCTCAGGACCCTGACATTTTGCCGGGATAAAAAGTATCCTATGTCTCAGCCCAGATCATAAGTTTATATATGTAAAAAAATTTCATCCAAATCCGTTCAGTAGTTTTTGCGTGATTCAGTAACAAACAAACATACAAACTTTCACATATTAAAGAAGGATTTCGCTCATATGTTTTTTTTTATTAATAATGAGCTATTTTGTTCTTTTCTTCATTGGGAAGCCGGTGCTTTTGGTGTACTCCACGCTTCAGCAATGCTGTTTAAGCGTATTTTAGGTACAGTTTTAATTTAGTTGAGGTTTGATGTAAGACGGTTATTTTTTAAATTCTTTGAGTGTGTGTATTATAGTAGAAGCGTGATTGAAATATGCTTCAACATAAGCGTTTTTCTGAAGTAATAGGTGGAGATTGTGGGGTTCAGGACAATTGTTTGTGACAATTGTGAAATGTCAAATGTTATTGGTTGTGGGTTGACTACGCGGGTTTATTTCTAATTAAAATAATGTTGTGAATATTTAGTTATAACTCGGCTTAATTATAGCAAATATGAGTTACGTGGCATTGAATGTCAGTTATTTAAAAGCGGAGCTAAGAAAAATAATTATGTCCTCCTTTTTGCCGTACAAAACGGAGCTGCGCAACACTGTGGTATGGTCAATTACGTTTAGAATACGGTTCTTTTGTATTAAAATATGATTTAAATGTATACTTTGATTTCACGCGCGTATTGATAAACATTAAAAGTTACAATTCAGGACCTCACTCAACAGTGGCGCCATCTGGTGAGACAAAAAACGGTAGCCCTCATTGCTTCAAAATTTCACTCACGTTTTTCTTCTGCCGGCTTCAACGTAGTGCAGGTTCTTCAAGTCGGGAGGCTCAGGATTCCACCACATGTGTTTTGACATTTCAGGGCGTTTGTACGGCAAACAATCCTCGCTTGTTATAAAGAATACCTATGGAAGTAGGTTAGTATAACTTTTTAGCGACTCGATTGCGGTAATGAAAAAAAAACTAAGAAAAGTTGCAAATGCAGGTATAAGGGTAGTATTGGGGTCGATTCTGGCATGTTTCTCTAAAGCTAAACTTAAATTTGACAACAGTGCATCCTTGTCATTCTCTATACAGGATGAAAAGGAGAGACTGATGTTAAATTTGGTTTTGAAGTTTAGAGAATCATGCCAGAATCGACGCTATTGTGTTCATAAAATATTATAAAGAATTCTAACATATTTATAAAGTGCATGCTGTGTTTGCATTTATAAGATTTGTGATACTGTTAAAATACACTGTATGTAATTATTTTGTCATTTTCACATTTCGGTTTTGCAAACCAAATAAAAATAAAGTTTTTTGGCGGGATTTCATCGAGTGCGGTTGGCGTCTTATTTTAATTATTCTTAAATTTGTTCATAGTGGATATTGTGAAATAAAATTGGTGTGATTTTGTGTTACAACCGTCTGCGCAACTGAAGAATTAGTGGAATCTTTAAAATATACGCTATTCCGGTCAAGTGGGCGTGAGAATTTTATTGTAGTATTGACTACCTCACAGAGGCTTATCGAAAAAGCCAACTCGATATATTTCGTGCCAAACACTCCAAGAAGCATTAGAATGCGTGACACCCACATTCTAATGTAAAAAAAAGGAAGATTAATACAAAAATAAGACGATGGCTGCATGGCTATGCCTTTGCCTTTCTCAATAGAGAAGAATAGAACTAAAAAAAACTCAAAAATAAAAGGTGTACTCTGTTACCTAGGTAACAGAGTACACCTTTTATCTTAGAAAACATTATTGGAATCTCTCTGCCTATCCTAGAATACGAGTTCCATGCAATTTAAAAAAATATTTCATAATGAATGTTAGAAGGTCAACTGGACTGCTGTCCACTCCTTGATCATGGCGCTTACAATAGTGGACTGCTCTGTTTTTTTCTACATTTTTAACGTTTTCTTGTAAATGGAGTAACATTTAAATCTAAAGAAAATATAACTAGAAAAAATTCCACGCTGACCAGGCAGCAGACGGGACTCGAACCCGCACCCTTCGCAATCCGGGCGAATGCACTGACTTCTTTAGATTTAAACATCAAGCAGTTACATGCTTAAAAAAACTTATAAGAGTAGCATTTATTAATCGTCAAGACGTCCATCTCATCATCATCTTCAATTGGTCTGTTTTGGAGTATTCGCAGCGTGCGTGCGAGCAGATAAGCAGATAATTATCTGCTCATATATAATATAAGTGTCAATAATCATTAATTACTCAGACCAACCTTAGCAGTTTTGTCGTGCTCCATGATGGATCTATAGGCAGCCCAGCCGGCAGCACCCGTACCCACAATCAGGTACTGGACGCATGCCGGCAAGTCCTTGTCGTGATACGGCCGTTTGACCTTACGCCGCGGTCGCCCTATAACATAACTCTATCAACAATCTTAATAATCATAGATCAAATTTTATCATCATCATTATCAGCCTATTAATGTCCCCACTGCTGGGGCATAGGCCTTCCCTATGGATGGAGTAGGGAGACTGGGCATGACCCACCACGCGGACCTAGTGCGGATTGGCGGGTGCTAACGACTGCAGATGCAGCCGGGATCAACGGCTTAACGTGCCTTCTGAAGCACGGAGAAACTCGAGATAGAATGTTTTTGGTCACCCATCCAATGACCGACCATTGTGAAAGTTGCTTAACTTCAACGATCGCAGTCGATCGCGCTAGCCATCTGCGCCATTGAGCTCCTCTCAAACAGAACCAAAACTGGTCAGGGAAATGATTGAAATAACAAAACATAAAAATTTCAATCGTGAGAACGGGTTTAAATTGTCGTGTGTCTGGAATTCTGTCGTTCGTGTAAAAACCGGTAAATATAATAAAAAGTGTCGTGTCGCAATCCGATACTGTGTGTGTTGTGTGTCGAGAACAATTTGGAGTGAATAGTGGGAATGTGAACAGTGGTACGGGTATCGAAAGACAATAAAAGACTTCGTCGGAGGGTAGACCGATATGTCTGTCAATAACAGCCTACCCGCAATTACTTTAGTTACTCCTTGATCATGGCGCTTACGGTAGTGCCGGAATATCGGAATCTCCTTAGAAACAAGGTACTTGGTAACAATCCGGTAAATAACATAAATTATTATAATGTTAGTGAACATGAAAATTTAAAACAATATAAGAATTGAACTGATCAAAATACTTACAAACGGGAGTACTTTCGCTCTCTTTCTCCGCCTCTTCTTTCCAGAGTAATATACGATATAGCTGTAATTTATAAAACATCAATTGAGCCGACAACGATATAAGCAATTACCACCACTTCCAATTGGATGTACGACACACTCATCAAAACTGCATATTGGTGTGTAATTGGTCAAACGATGCAAAACCCTTATTTTTACCTTAGATTAAAACAAAAAGGGTAGATACGGTACGCTCATACTTGCATCAATGATCCCACGGCAGCGCGAACGGGACGGCGAGATCCGCGTCACTGCATTACCGACCCGAACGAAACAGCACGTTAAGTTTCAACGGCAGCGCGAACGAGACGGCGAGATCCGCGTCACTGCACTACCGACCAATCATGCGACCAGTACTCGACGTCACTACCGAATAAGATTCAAAACAAACAGCATTTTTTATGAAAAAATATATTTTATAGTACTTACGAATGAAAAGTGATGCCGTGGGTTTTATTTTTAGTTCTTGAGCAATTTGAGCACTTTTTAAAAACATACTTAGGCATTGTTTTGTCATATAAACACATTTCGTGGACCACAATTTTTACGGATCACTTTTGTGAGGCTAGTGCCGTATCTACCCTTTTTGTTTTAATCTAAGATTTTTACTGTCTGCTTTGACGACACTCGTCACGTCGTCGTCTCGTCGTCGTACGTCCTTTTAATGGAATCTAAGTAGTAATTTTTAGACTATTTATTTTTTTCTTGTAAATGTTCTCCATACAGCCTTGACAGATAGACGGACAACGAAGTGATCCTACAAGAGTTCCGTTTTTTTTCTTTTGAGGTACGAGACCCTAAAAATAACCGAATGAGATAAGACAGGGCGCAACGCTACCCGTTTCCCTGACTTCAGGGCCGGATTTAGGATTGTGGAGGCCCCGGGCCACTTAGGATTTGCATGCTTGTTGACCCATCGAAATGTTGTTATTTCTTAAGTTGTTGTGGAGGCCCCTGGGTAACAGCCCCACCTGCCTTGCCTTTAATTCGGCCCTGGTTAGATGTACAAAGTACTGTAGGCTGTAGGTAAAGGTAAAAGAGCAAATAAAAAATCAAAGGAAAAGATGTTTACTCGTGTTTAGTGAAGTCTCTATTGTGGGGGCCCCCCGTTTGAGAAGGCCCCGGGGCTTTTGCCCTGGTTGCCCTCCCCTAAATCCGACAGTGCCTGATTTCATACTTTATGCGGCGCACGCAGTGGCGTAGCTACCACCGTATCTGCCGTATCAATTATACGGGGCCCCTAGTTAAGTCATTTACATGAACGGGGGAATCCCACAATAATCGATGTACATGCGAAACGATGATAAACCACAGAGTCACTATTGTCCATAGAGGCAGAAACTTTAGAAAAACTAAATTTATCATCAGCTAAAATTGATTTAATAAATCAGTTTACCGAAAAAAAGGCAAGGAGAGTGTAAGTAGATATATTTAATTTGAATTGTTTGTAAAAATTTTGAAAAATGTGACAGATAGATAATGATGATGAATAAATATTTCTTGTAATTTTATGCAAATGTTTTTTTCGTTTGTGAGAAATGTTTACCCTTCCTAAGGGCCCCCAAACAAATTTTTATACGGGGCCCCACCAAGGCACGCTACGCCACTGGGCACACGATTCATTATTGGATAATACCATTGTTTAGTGTATAGTAACAATAAGCTTATCTAAGGCGGCCTTTAGACCTACAATAACATCGTGCAATACTTGTATTGTACAATAACATTGAAAGGTGCTCAGCTCTGTTTTCGTGTTCAGTCAGAGAATGGAGGTGTTTCTTGAGCTCCTTCCAATAGTTAGTTCTTAAAGAATTGATTTTTTTTTACACATCTTTGCATGCCTGTGGAAACATCTCTTTGTATTTAGACAACAATGTTTCGTAAGCAATGTTTTTTTTATCACGGTCATGATATTCTTTGCTCTTAACATTCCACAGAGACAGCAATTCTCTGAACAATTGGATACATTCACAGATAAACTCTCATTCCTTAACTTTTGGATTCTTTTGTACCGCCATTTTGCATGCGCGCGTGTACTCCTCGTGATATCGAACCACAGATTCAAAAATATTGCGCAATTTTAACCCTACACGATGCAATGGAAAAATATGGTGCCATAAAAATTAGACTCGATCAAACTTTTGGTCATCATTGCGCAATCTTAACCCTAAACGGTCAATGATAATGTACAATGCGCAATATAATTGACCGTTTCGAGGCCGCCTAAGGCGTCGTCCTAATGAGGGCTATCGCGTATGAATCCGCCGCTAGAGGCACTAGTGTAGCGTGAGGTCTCCGAAATGTCAAATGTTATTGCTTGTTGGTTGACTACGCGGGTTTATTTCTAATTAAAATAATGTTGTGAATAATTGGTAACAATTCGGCTTAATTATGGCAAATATGAGTTATGTGGCAATGAATGTCAGTTATTAAAAATTTGAGCTTAGAAAAATGATTATGTTCCCATTTTTTCCGAATAAAGCGGAACTGCGCGTCACTGTGGCATGGCCTATTATGTTTAGGATATGGTTCTTTTGTGTTAAAATACGATCTAAATGTAACCTTTGATTTCATGTGCGTATTAATAAACTTTAAAAGTTACAATTTAGGACTTCACTCAACAGTGGCGCCATCTGGTGAGGCAGAAAACGGTAGCCCTCATTGGCAACGATCTCACGATGACACTTTCTCGTAGTACGATGATTTTTTAACAAACATATTCCTTTAGTGTCCTAATATAACCCGTAAGCCGTCGCACGGGCACTGGTACATACTTTCATCGCACGATGAGATCGTATCGTATCATGGTACAATCAATCTGTCGAAAAAAAAAATCGTTTCAGTGAAAAAAAACCTAAAGGGTAAGTCTTGTTTTTTCTGTTGCCAAATGACGTCAGTAAGCCACCTTGGCGATGGGCATGTTCAACTCGTAGGCGTTTTTTGAAAAGATCAAAAAAACCCTCAAAAATTTTTTGAAACGAATTTTTCTTGTTTTGTATGCATTTTAGAAACTTTTTTTTCGACCATAAGTGTAGAGGGCGTTGAGTACTACAATTTATGTCATTGTTGCAATCTCGTACAACAAAAATTGCGCATTGTAGGCGCTAAAGTCTCAAAAAAGTGTTTTTTCACTTTTTCACCCTGAAAATATCATTTTAATGGAAAACTTTGAATGGAAAAGTTGTTCCGTACATTATTACCAACAACTTTTGTAAAAACAATTTTTTTGTATTACTTACCGTTTTTAAGTTATAAATTGTGCAGGTATGAAAAATCCAATAGAGCGGTTTTGGACAGTTCAAGTACACATTTGCAACAGATTGACTGTACTATCATCCTAAGATCGTTGCCCATTAGGACGACGATGCCTTATTCTAGGAATGGAGATTGACAAACAAAATATTTTAAGTCACCTTATAAACCGTAGAGAATATGCTATCAAAAACATACTTACCACCCCCATGGTAGCAAAGAACGTCGCGACCGCCCACACGTATATCCAGGGGAAGGGAGGCCGCGGGGGCGGAGGGCACGGCGGACCTCTCGGCACAGGCTGCACAGAGCACGGGCCTTTCGTCTTCGCGCATTCAAACATCGGCTGAAAGGTAACTTCTGCTATTGCTAATCCGCCATTTTCTAAAACTATTTACCCAAATTACCAAGGGCGGGTCCAGGGGGGGGGGGTCATGACCCCCCCCCCCCTGGGCTGGGTACTGATGGACCAAACCCAGGGGGATTTTATTTAGGTACTTTCAATATTTAATATACCACGACTATATGACCCCCCCTGGCGCCAAAGCTGGCTATATGACCCCCTCCTGGCGCCAAAGCTGGCTATATGACCCCCCTGGCGCCAAAGCTGGCTATATGACCTCCCCCTGGCGCCACTGGATCCGCCCTTGCAAATTACTAATTATGGTTAGCGTTATCTTTCGCTTGAGTGACCTATCCTAAAGTATTGAAGCTCAAGCAACCAAGGGCGGATCCAGCTTTGGCGCCAGGGGGGAGGGTCATATAGTCGTGGTCAAGTCACAGTGGGTACAGATGGACCCAGCCCAGGGGGTCATGACCCTCTCGACCCCCCCCCCCCCCCCCCCCTCTGGATCCGCTCTTGAGCAACCTTGGGATTTACTCGAGCACGGCCATTTCAGTATCTTATGAAATACACCCACCAAACCTTGGCTCTTTATAATTAGTGTCGAAAGTCTATGGCAACCGATCAGGGCGCTTACTCTTGAATCTATTCTCAATGTCAATTTGAAGCCAATCCAATAATAATACAATTCAGAAACCATACTCTTGAAACGCTTGAAATTGGAATTGCATTGAGATTGGGATTGAGATGTTATTGGAAAGATACGCATGAAGTTAGCTTAATTAAATCTCTGCAATAGTGGGGACCTTTGCGCTTACGCCGTATCGACAAACGTTTAACAAAATGAAAAAACTGTTTTAACAGCATAAATAATTGATTTCAACGAATAATTTAATAAACAGTGTAATTATGTGTCCTTAACTATTACTTTTCGGTATATTTAACACAATATTTTGTTGTATATCATCTTATAAATACACTGAGACTGTATGTCGTCACGCATTTGCTTTAAATAAAAAAAAATGTGTATTTCCAAGATAAGTTTTAAAAGTTTCAAAAGTTCGAATGAAGTGTTTTAATTCTTGGCTATAGTACTTCAGTTAAGTGCAGTGTTTCTTGCAGTCTTGTTGTGCAACGGTTGAATTGTGAAGCAGTGTTTATTTAAGGTAAAGTATTTTTGACTGATTATTTTATGTTGAATGTATGCAATTTGTTTTAAATTAAATTATATATATTTCTAGAAAAATGTCCAATCGCCCCACTTCCCATCAATTGGAGGCTCTTGTGGAGTTCCTTGAGCAAAATCCAGGTATCGCAAGGGGTTATCTAAGGACTTCAGAAGGCAAACAAGAAAGCAAAAGGAAGTGGGCCGATAAGTAAAAAAAAATGATCGTTGGAGAAACTACAGTGCGTCAGATTAAAAAAAGGTAAATTAATTACATCTGACAATTTGAGCATAAGGGTGAAGCCAAACGAGCGTAATTTTGTGAGTTGTGAGTCGCTTATTTTCGGTCACTTATTTTACGTTCAACTGAATTTCTGTTGAGCTGCCATACGAACGTAATTTATTCAGTTACTATTGAGCGTTAGTACGGGGTGTTCGTGTCGTCGAGTGCAATGGATCCATTAAAAATATTGTTTATTTACGGAGCATATTCAGAAGATGAGGCCAGAAAAAGAAACTGGGTAAACCCACTGAATAGTCAGAGGCTGATATGTGGACAGTTCCATACTTTATATGAACGTTTAACGAACGTAATTTATTCAGTTACTATTGAGCGTTAGTACGGGGTGTTCGTGTCGTCGAGTGCAATGGATCCATTAAAAATATTGTTTATTTACGGAGCATATTCAGAAGATGAGGCCAGAAAAAGAAACTGGGTAAACCCACTGAATAGTCAGAGGCTGATATGTGGACAGTTCCATACTTTATATGAACGTTTATGTGCAAATCCAGATATGTTTGAAAAGTACTATCATATGCCATTACGTGTTTTTCAAGAATTATTACACCACGCAACTTGTAACGAACTGTTGCTTCCCCACTCCCCTTCCTTGCCCTACCCTCACCCCGACCGAAATTCGGACGAGCTTATGCGCATTGAGTCGGCAGACAACTCATTTTGCGTTGTCGTGTGGCACCATCTGCCTTTTTGTATGAAACCGAATGCAACAGAATTTCTGCGACCGAAATTCTGCGACTCACTACTCACAAAATTACGCTCGTTTGGCCTCACCCTAAGAAAATGGGAGTTACAAAGTTGTAAAAAAATACGATGCCTGGACATTCTCGAGCGTGGTTAATATTTATTTTCAAGGAAAGTCGCTGAGAACTGTGTATTAATGTTGTAAGCCTGTGAGGATGTCGTTATACCTGATATTCTAGGGAATACTTACTAGTGATTCAGGTATGTTTTTTTTATCAATACTTCAATAATACCGTAAAATTAATAAAATAAAATTTAAGTATCGTAACCATTGTTTGTAGTAAATACTTAAAACGTTGATGAAAACTACCAAGTCGAACCAGAGTTCGATATAAAGATGACTCCATTGCCGATGAAATTGAAAATATTAATAATAAATAAATTGTCATCATAGGTATTTTTTTAAATACAGGATATAATCTTACCTGTTTACATAATATTTTATGTTGCATTTATTACATTCTTTTTAAAATAAAATATTATGAATTATTGAAAAAAAAATCAGACCGTTAGATTAAGGATTTTCCTTCCCATAATCGTCAGATTATTGGTCAGTCAGACCGTTAAGTGCATCAACAGGAAGCGACTGTTTACGTAATAATCTGCGCGCTCGAGTATTTCAAGGCCACGATTTTTTTTGCCTTTTCAAAAAGCGGCCATGACTTATGGTCATTTCCAAATCGTCAGTCTTTTGAATAGGAGCTACTGGAGGGTTCACCTAACATCCCTTATCAACGACGGACGCGCTAGAATATTGTTTCATCCGTATTTTGTACCCCTTCGTACGGCCACCCCCACCATGCAAACCGATACGAGCGATTAATACGTTTCCGTTATTAGAGATACGTGGGGTAAATTACACTATTAACATCAGACGCTTTCGAATATTTCTATGACTGTTTTTTTACATTTTTGAAAACCCATACACGCTCCCTCCACCAGTGAAATGGTATACATTGTATAAACTTTTCTTCTTTTTTGGACCTAATCTTCAACTTTTCAAGGTTTCGACGACGCTCGAGTAAATCCCTGTTTAGCATCGTGGTAGGGACTACCACTAATGTATCTATGATGGGGTCATCACTATGAAAGAGAGGGAAATCATAAGCCCAAGCACGAATTTTGCCAGCTCCGTAATCATATCGCATCTTCAGTTTCTATGAAAACTCAACCCAATTAAATAATAAACGTTCGTAATAATACACTAGCTTTTTCCATACAAAATTTGACACGTTGACGATACAATTGAAGTATACGCAAAGCTTGACATAGATGACGCTGCAAACGCTTGACTCAAACCACAGCCAAATATTGCCGCTGTCAAATTTTAAACGTGTTTTTTTGTTGTTAAAATATTAAATAAGTGGCGAAAAATATTTAACATGGTCTGTAATACAGCTGAAAACAGAGTTGAAAAGGAGAGGAGCATCTGTGCAAGGCAGAAAAGCTGATCTAGTAGAAAGGTACTCTATCTATTATTATGCTAGAATGCTCATTCTCGGTACAAAGATGCATTTTCCATGATTATTTTAGTGGTTCATGGAGCTGAGTAACTTTTAGCGGGCTCATTAGTCAAATCTATCTTATTTTTGCATCAGTCAGACATCCCATAGAGTGAGGTTACCTCTGGCTAAAATAGGAGGTATAACATTGGCTTTTTTACAGACTTGAGGCATATGACCGAAATTTTAATTTTGGTGCAGTTTTTTCTGATCAAAATGAAGACATCCAGATGCAATTACCTGCCTCAGATACATACAATAATGTAAACAGCAGCTCATTTTTATCCCCCCCCCCCCCCCCATTTCAAATCAACATATATAATTATATTTTAATCGGTAAGCATGCAGTTTTCTCACAACAACCAGGAACTGCACAACTCGGCATTTGTATGTTGTTTAATAAAAAGCTTAAAAATGGATTTAAGCTAATAGGTATGTATTTGATCGAAGTTTTGGGTCAAGCGATTACAGCGCCCCTAGTGGCCAAATTTTGCAGAATTCTTATCCATTACGGACGGTGCTGTCAAAGGGTATATTCCGTAATATATACCCGTATACTGGCCAGTGCTATCTAACGCCATGAATCGACGCTATACTGGTGAATTGTTCCGAAATATACTGGCCAGTGCACAGACGTCATAAATCGACGAAATATTAAAAATAGTGCGAACAAAGAAGATTTTTTATTTACCTCATCAATTAAAAGGAATTCTTTTTGTTCGGATGCCGTTATTGTTCTTTAAATAAAAAAGAAATAAAATTTGAATAGTACTTCTCACGCACGCTCGGTCATACGTCATATTCGTTTTGCCGGTAAAAATATGGTAGCATACCAGTACAATATGGCGTCGGATTCATGACGTCATTACCACTGGCCAGTATAATACTGATGTATATTTCGTAATACACCCAAAATTCGTGCTTGGGCCTCTTGTCCTCCTGCCAGAAGCTAGAAACCTAACGTCTTGATATTCCTACAACTTATTGACAATAATCTCTTTGTCCCAACGTCCCAACTTCCCAAACCTTGTGGAACTGCAAGCAACTAGTATCGAAAGATAATCTTTGAATCCGTCAAACTTTTGCAGAAAGGCAGTTTCGAAACTAATTTATCACGACATTGGTGTCGATTCTGGCAGGATTCTCTAAACTTAAAACTAAATTTGACATCAGTCTGTCCTTTTCATTTTGTATAGAGAATGACAAAGATACACTGTTGTCAAATTTAAGTTTAGCTTTAGAGAATCGTACCAGAATCGACATCATAATCACAGATTTGGTTTATCTGTGTTTATCTACCTTCATATGTGAGCATAATAGTCTAATGTTTCAATGTTTTGTTTTAGTCCTTATTTTAATTGTTTGGTAAAATATAACATTGTTTTGTTAAAATATTGATAATAATGCACTCACAAATACTTTTATTTTCTTTTCAAATTACCGTCGATGCATTGTGTGAATATTTTTAACTCATTTTAATTTCTTTTCCAGTAATAATACATTTTGTTTACTTAAAATTAATAGGCACACTGTTTTCATGTTAAACGGAAATGGGCGTTAATTTTGTAAAACAATGGTGTCGATTCTGGCAGCATTCTTTAAACTTAAAACTAAATTTAATATCAGTCTGTCCTTTTTATTCTATATAGAGAATGACAAGGATCCACTGTTGTCAAATTTAAGTTTAGCTTTAGAGAATCATGCCAGAATCGACACCAATACCATATTTAACGTTACATAATTTAATGTGCATTTGCACTTGTTCCAAATAAAGTTATTATTATTATATTTGTTTCTTAGGTTTTCACGCACATCACTTGGTATATACCACCAGCTTGGGAACCTATTATACAGGAGATAAAATCCCAACCCCGAGCACACACTGCAAGACCATCAGATACTATTAGTTCTTTTTGTTTACAAAGCAATGCAAGCATAATTTAACATAAGAAGGAGATAGAAAGCCTCTCTTGAGTTTGTTTCGCCGGTTCTTCTCAGAAAGGTCTCCCAATTTTGGAACCGGTGGTAGTTTACGGTAGTTAGGGTCAAATAAATAAACTCAAAATGACAAAAAAGAATTTAAAATAAAATACTTTATTAAGTAAATTAAATAATAAATTCATACATAGACAATAAAACTTTAAAGATCGAACAATGAAATAACCGAACGCTCAATAAAAGTCTTTCGAAGGTAGCTCGACAAATTAAATAAAAGTTTAATTCTGACGACGTAGCCTGTAAAGGCTACGAAACGTCAATAAGTAAATAAAGTTTCATGCATTAACCAGTAAAAACTAGTTTTATTTATTATTATTATAATTGAAGAAGTATTTAGAGAAATTCCGAAGTCTAGCTGTTCCACAGTGTTGCATTTTTGACTTTCTGCCAACAATGCAGGGGGAACAGCATAGTAATATAGGTACATACCTACTCCCGAAGACCCGACTCTCGTAAGGATAACAAAATTAGAAACCGTTTTCCGCACACAGCATATAGCTCTTGCCTAACTTCACAAACATTTTATTTGATTGGTTGCGCCCAAGATATTTCCTATAAAATGGTGACAGATCGCCTACGCATACCAGGCCAGTTTCTGAAACGTCCTCTATTCACAGCGCTACTACCTATGCATCTCAGACTATTACCCAGTCGATCATCGTTTAACTAACTAATTCAAAAACTTTTCCTACCTACTTCTCCACCTTATCTAAAACGATGCTTCTCTTTTCGTTCATCCTCTTCACAATGCATTCTACGCTCCTCTTCTAATCTCACTCTCGAAATACCTTTCGCGTCATTTCCTATCTTTACTTTGAAAATACCTCTTTCCTTTATTTTTTCATATAAATACGCATCTATATTATTATTACCGTTTTTTATTTTATTTTATAATATTGCTCTTACACCCTTCCCCTTTTTTGTTCTTATATAGGTACTTATTTAATTTTCCGTCATTGGTTGCCTGGAAGAGATTGCTATTAAGCAATAAGGCCGCCCATTATGTAATGTCTCTCTGTCAGTGTAATCTTACTGTTATGTCCTTTGTGGTGTTGTACAATAAAGAATATATTATTATTATTATTAATTTTGAATTTGTAAATAAATAATCAACACATTAGCTGAAGTTAAATTTATTCAAAACCATGCAACATTAAGTGAATTATTAAAAAATAGAAATCAGAGCCCGCACTCTCCACAGTTCACACACTATTTGGTCAGCTGTTCTTGTTCCAAAGTTTTCGCTGGTTCCTCATCAACGTGCCCCGACTCTTCGCGTTCCGCTTGTTCCAGCAACGTCATCCTATCTAACGGCTTCCAAGGTTCATGAAATGCATACATTAATTTACTTCTGCCATGATAACCCAGTTTGGACTGTGTTTCTTTAGTTTGAATATCTTTTTTCTCTGGTTGGGGATTCCAGTAATCGCGAATCGACGGGGAGTTGTAGAATAGATCCGTCACGCGTTCAGTGGGTATACTGGCTTGCTGGTACTCGGGGTAGCCGTAGAACTCTCCTACAGCGCAATGCGGGCATTCCTGTCAAAAAATTACCTACAGTTCAGACCGTGGATAGGGTATATTCTTGTGCGTTGGACGAATCAGTTCCATCGGAATATCGGTAAAAGAAAAGGGGTTCTTCAAATATATCCTCCTAGACTCACCAGTCAGTTCGCTCCAACACAGACCCAACTAATATACTTTTCGGCTACCATCATGGTGTTATCGCTGCCACCCTCCTTTCGTTCGGTCTTCTTGCCTTTGCCGAAAAGTCCTCTAAGATAACCCAAGAAAGTTTCGTCTTCTGGGGTTGCCTCCTCCTTCGCTTGGTCTTGCTGCTGCACTGGGGGTGAGCTCTGTGGCTCCTCTGTACCATGAGAGCCAGGACCTTGCGTGTAGTGCTGTCCTCCATGGGGGTTCGAGGTGAGCGCAACTCCGTTCCACTGATGAAGAAAGCACAAGCTGGATTTCATTAGATATTTAATGCACGACGTGGAGCTCTGATTTCGTCAAACGCACATGTCGCAAAGTTTTGAATAAATTACTTATTATTAATATCATCTACCAATACGCATATGAAAGAGTAATATTAAAAAAAAACGAAAAAATAATCGTAATGTCTGTAAGATGACTAAGTTAATTTCTCGCATATTCCCTTTGTTGGACCATGGCCCGTTTTAAAGGTCAGCTACAACGATATTAAATACCCTAGATACACCACGAGCGCTCAAAATGTGTCCCATTCAAGAAGTGCTTGAACTCCACTCAAGCACTTCTAGGTTCACAGTCACGCGCGGACCGTTACAAAGTCAAGATGCCACAGAGCTCCGCGAAAAAATGCGAAAATAATACTTAGAGCACGAAAAGTGACATTTTTTCGACAGGTATCTAGTCAATGTTTGTTAATTTAACTAATACTTACTATAAACTGATTTAATATAAAATATTTGTTATATTCAAATGCATGGTCGGTTATACGTCGCCATATAGCCGTCTCTTTTCCTCGCGGTCCGCGCCTGCTATATTGCTAACAGCGCGTTCAGAATTGCGCGCAGAGTCAAAGAACTAAGGTCTAAATTCTTCCGCATATAGCAATAAGTCGCAAAATTTTATGAGCTTGCATTTCGAACTGTCAGAAGTCCTTGACGCATGCATTTTATTTAAGACCTTAAACAGTAGGTGTTAAAGGTTACTTTCAATATTTAAATAATGCCTTATATTGATTTTGACTACGCGATCATCTTACGGAGCTCGATTTTGTTCGTGTTGGTGTATCTAGGGCATTTAATATCATTGGTCAGCTATCCAAACACAGCACGCCAAATGCGTACAGCAGCAATGGCCCAACCGCCCCTAAAAAAAAGAACATCAAGTATCACACTGGCACTGCCACGCATGTTTGCCGCGCTATGCTTGAACATGCCTTAGTGCCTTTTCACATGTACACGGACATGGCACGGTTGCCGTGCCGTGTAAAATAGTTATGTATGAGCAACAATGAGAGCTTTCACATTGCACGGCGACCGTGCCGTGACCGCGTGTCAGGCGTCCTTATCCACTATAAGCACGAGCACGGTTTTGACGCGGCAACCGTCTTTATAGTATTGTATGGACTTGTATAGACGCGTTCACATGAACACGGGCGCGGTACGGCACGACGAGCGCAAATACCATTCGTCAGCTAAAGTCATAGGGGAACGGACGGACGATTGTTACAGAATGTCTGTCGAAATCGATGTTGATGTGTTGATTTCGCTAGTTGAAGCGCGTCCTACTTTATGGGATAAAACCATCGCGTCTTGTAAAAACAGGAACGAGACAAAAGAACCGTGGAAAGAAGTATGTATAGGATTAAATAGTAGTTTCGAAGAATTAGATGATAATGAAAAGAATCTTTTTTTGTTCCATGATGAAAGACGTCGTCGTTCCCCAAAATTCTCGATAATATTGCAACATCCATAGCCGGCGACCGTGTGTAAGCCGTATACATGTGAAAGAGCTAGCACGGTTGCACGGCATGGCGGCCGTGCCGTGACCGTGTGCATGTGAAAAGGGCCTTAAGGTCAAACAAGGGGAGAATAGTCCTACCATCGTTCAACTTAAACAAGAATAAAGATTACGTAAGGAGTTAAGCTTTATGAGGCAATCTACTGCATTAGTGTGATAACAGCACCGATTCTGGCATAATTTCCTAAATCTAAAATGAAATTTGACAATAGCGTTTCCTTATCATGCTCTTCACATAATCAAAAGGAAAAGCTTTGTCAAATTTAGTTTTAGGTCTAGAGAATCATGCCAGGAACGACACCAACACAAATTATGCTTTGGTAATACTCAAAAGGTAGAGCTTTGTCAAATTTAGTTTTAGGTCTAGAGAATCATGCCAGGAACGACACCAACACAAATTATGCTTTGGTAATACTCAAAAGGTAGAGCTTTGTCAAATTTAGTTTTAGGTCTAGAGAATCATGCCAGGAACGACACTAACACAAATTATGCTTTGGTGACACAATATATGGTGCCTACATACCCTAGCGTTGCTCGGAGGTAGCGGTGGCACCATAACATCCGGCACCTTGATCCTGTATGGGTCATAGTTGGGGGGCTGCGGGTCCCGGGGGCATTCGCAACGCCACGCTGGCGGCGGAGGATCCTCCTTTGGCCAGCCCTCTACTCGCTTCCCTTCAGACTGCACGACGTCTTTGCAACAGTCTTTGTCATTTTTCGCATAATTTCTGAATCCTGATGAGAAAGGATATTGTTTGAGGCCATCATGTAGCAAGAGCGGGCAATGCTTACACTATAAAATTCTGAGTAGCTACTATGGAATCGTTTTATTGAGAACATGTTAATTAAACTGGACGGCTGCCCCTCCTAGAATTTTAATTCCTAGCTATGAAAATAGGTGTTCTAAATTGCAGAGCTCCATGGTTAAAGAGGACTTGGATCAGATTGGCGACTATATTAGACAAGTGGCCAGCCACCACCATGAAAGAAATGGATGCGGCTAAACTGTACTTCCAGGGCCCAAGCAGTGATACTTCACACTAGGTTAGGTTAGTGTTCTGGGGACTGCTAGTACCCTAGCGCAGTCCCCTTGAGGCGCGTCGCCCGGTCCACTCGTCGGCCCCGAGCCGCCCCCACATGGGCGTAAGAGGGTACCGGCGGGTTTTAGTGGAGTAGGATCAGTGTGGCCTTCCGCACTGGTCCTGCTTGAGTAGGGTCGGCACTGTTTCCGGTGCCGGCGAGTCCCACACACGCCGTGCGCCTAGTCAGCGTCACGGTATGGTGCGTAACTGCATTTCCCCTCGTCACAAAAAAAAAAAAAAAAAGTTAGGTTAGTGTTGTGTCTATAACGCGCGAGCCGAGGGAGCAAAGCATGCCGCGGCAGCGGCCGGCGAAGCGCCAGAAAAAAAGATGAGATCTTTTCTTCAAAAAAAAATTAAGTATCACCTCTTGGGTCCGGGAAATACCTTAGTTTTACTTATCATATCGATACCCATACACTCTTTGTTCATGTAAACAAATATTGATCTGATCGACAAGTGGTAAAATGTAGTATGTAGTAAGGTAGGTACTCACCAAAACCAGCCACTGCTTGCACCATATTATTTTTATTGATCGGCAAAGCGCTATGATTTCTGTAAACCATAATGCCACAGTATCTTATCGGAGACGACAGCATGTTTTGTAAAAATATAATTTTTAAATAACAAAATTTAATTAGTAACAGTTCACTGATAAAATGCACGTAAAATTTTTGAGTTTTGATTTTATTTAAAATTTTATTAGCTTACATTGTTTCGGTAACGGTGACAAACTTGCATGTCATATTCGTGAAAATTTTCTGAATTTTTTGACAGTGCTTGAAAATTAGAATAAACTTGTTTTGAAAATTATATGGTTTTTGGTTTCGTACAAAGAAGTTGCAAATACAAGTCAACATTGATTTGTGTATGAAGAAATCCAAACAATAGGCTAGTTGACTCATGTCGAATTGTATTTAATAAAATGTTTATTTCTTATAGTATTTGGTCTAAGGAACCTAAATATATCGATTTCACTTCATAAAAGCGGAAGATTGCTGTAGAAATTTAATTTGAAAAATATTTTTTAGTCTATATTTTTTAAACACTAAAAACGCTGTTCGCCACATCCGCCATAATTGTGACGTCTCTTATGGTAAACAACTAAATGTCATTCGCGTGTTACTGTGGGTGGATTCTTTCGTCTGACTAAATTTATCATAATTAACACTTTTAACTTTAGAAAAGTTTCCGTTTACTGATTTTTTTGAAAAAACTAATTAGGGTAAAAGTGGGATAGATGCCCCACTTTCTGTAAGCTGACTATAACTTTTTTTTTTAAAGCACTATTCGAGTGAGTTAACTATTTGTAACAACTATAGTCCTTATACTTACTATCTACTCATATCATTATTCAATGCATACCGTAGATTTGTAGATATTCGGCTCTAAAAAAAACTTATTGTTTGAGGATGCCGGCTTTGTGAAAACAGAAAGCACAAATCTGCCAAGAATTGACACATTGATGGTTATAATTTTTATTATTTTTAAAGCATGTAACTGCTTGATGTTTAAATCTAAAGAAAATATAACTAGAAAAAATTCCACGCGGACCAGGCAGCAGACGGGACTCGAACATTGATGGTTGGTGAATTTATTGCACTAAACCCCAATTTCTGCTCTGCGGAGCAGAGAAACGACAAGGCGTCTATGTAAGTACAGTGTATTTAGTATTACAATGTAGTAATCAACATTAAACTGATACAACATATGAATAAGTGTAATAAAGTTGCGTAGGTTAATTTCTTTCGGCACTTTAATCCACAACTTTCCTGGAGTCTTCAAGGATGTGTTTTAATATTCTCGTAATCTCGTACAATACAATAATGATAATTACTTTATTTTTCGTGGTATTTATTAGAAATCATGTTTTTTTTTATTATAAACTCAGTTAAGTTATTTTCTACGTGCTTACGAGTTTTTGTTTACTGCAGTTAACGTCATAGCATAGATAATTTATAGACTAAAATGGCCGACAGCGTTTTTGTATGTCCATGAAAAATCTATTTTAAAATTAAAGATAGCTTTTTAGGTCTCAAAAAAATACAATACATTTTTTTTCGGTCTAATAGAACATTTATTAACCATTTAAAACCTTTTTCCAAAAAGGGTCAACTAGCCTATTCCTAATAATAAAAAGATAAAATGCTAGATGCATAATTATATTTATATAGTAAGCACCATATTAAAACTTTCAATCAAACTACGATATTAATATCGTTGCTCCCAGTTAGTGGCGGGGCAAGACCTAAATAAATTAAATAAATTGACCTAAATTGGATGTGGGCAAGACAGATTCGCGAGGCCTTGTTCTGTGGCGACCTGAAGACGGATTTTATATAAAAAAAACGCTTTTAAGCAACGCATAAAAATTTTTGAGGCGCGAGGTCCCTTGTACCGCGAGGCCGTAGGCGGTGGCCCACGTCGCCCACACCTTACGCCGCCTCTGCTCCCAGTTGTTTCTTACGGAAGCTTGCTTCTTGCAAGAAAAATAACTGTCAAACTTTCTTTCGTTAGGCGCAGCGCACATGAGAAGACACTACGCGCGGCGACTTCAAGTGCGGCCAAAAGCCACGGAGCGGAGCGCGGCGACTTTGAGCGCTACTACAAAAGTCCAATCACGAATTTTGACAGCTCCGTTCCTCTCAGGCGGCAAACGGCCGACAGTCGGCATTTTTTATTACGCTGATTATTTGAGAGTCCCGTCTGCTGCCTAGTCTGCGTAGTTTTTTTTTTGATATATATAATATTATATTTTTTTATTTCAATGATATCTCTCATTTTTATGCGGTTATTTCTAACTTTTTCGGCATAAGCATAAAGGAAAAAAGACGGACATTAAGCTCAACATTGATGTTTAAACAAAATCCTGATATATTAGGAATAATTCTGCAAAAACCCACCTTTTCATCCTTAAAGTGTCCATAATTGGTGCAATTACGTTATACAACATAATTTAATCTTAATATTTTGGCATGTGTATGCCAACCTTAACATTTATTCGTCACTATTATACGCTACTCAACGTCACTGACGCGTAGAAGTTTCTACGCCATCAACACAATACTTCTGCGCCATATCAGCAAAAAATGGCGGCCTGACCCATCTGCCAACAAAAAGGTGTATGTTTTTTAATTCACCATCAAATTCCCTTTTATCAATTTACTAACGTGGTTATTCCTATTTGCCTCATCTGAATGACCATTGGTCTGCCTTTTGGCACGTGAATTATATTCACTTGCGATACCAACTATTTCGATCTATGTATGTGTACTGTGGTACTTACCATCTCTATCTATTAGACAAGTCCGTCCGTCCGTCTGTCTGTGGTGCTGTTTCAGCGGCCAAACCGTAAGAGATAGATAAAGAGAATGTTTAAGTTATAAGTTAAGAATAGTCTGATAAGACTACAAACCGGATTTGAGTAACGTAGCACTTCCGGTTTTCGAGAAATCACGAATTTCAAACGAAACCTCACAAAATCTCCGAAGTTCTCAATTAATTAAATACATTTGTTTTGGTGAACATTTGGTTCAAACCAGTGAACCAAATGTTCACCAAAACAAATGTATTTAATAGCTAGTAGGATATATTAGTATAAGTCGCGGCACGAAACTCTAGCGCTGACGCTGTCTTGGGGGGAAACGAGGTACGCGGGTGGACGTGCGTTGCGCCGTTTGTCTCTCCAGTCGTACCCATACGCAGCTATCCCCTCCGCGATTTGTTCAGCGCTAAAGTTACTTGACGTGACCAGTAATCGTATAGTCATCGTCAAGTTTTGTGTAGAAGGAGTCAGGTATTGTCCTAATACAACGCGAATGAGCGATGCGATCATCGTACGAGTCGACGATCAAACATATTGATCTAGAATAGGTGTCCTAATAGGCGATCGAGCGATGCATTCGCGCGACTAAAATGTTTAAAAATCTATTCGCGGGAACATAGTTCGCGCGAACGCGCAATCAAACCTATTAATGATGAATAGGTGTCCTAACTGAAGTTCGCGCGATGATCGCGTCGCGTCGATAGGAAGCGGGGAGAAGGGCAGGGCTAACCCGACCAAACTGTGTGTCAATAGTGATCGATCGCGTATTCGCGTAAATCGTGATCGCGTATTCGCGTTCTATTAGGACACCCAGTTCGCGATCACGCGATGGTCGCATCGTTTAAACGCGCGATGATCGCGTTATCGCGTTGTATTAGGACATAATGCCTCAATTTGTTCTTACGTCCGATAAGGGCGCTGCTTAGTTTTTATAAATTTAACTATAAATAATTTAATATAACTTTAGACGACGCCATACGATTATGGAGCTGTCAAAATTAGTGCTTGGACCTCAAAAGTAGTGGCACGCCTGCTCTCGTAGCCGCTTTCTTCACAGCACTGTTCACTGCTTGCTCTTTTCCATGTTTGCCATAAAATTTTTAAACATATGATATAGACATTAGGGCTTAAATTATTAATTTCTCAGCGCCTCTCCTGGTGTGCGCTGCGCCTTAGTGTTAGTGATCGATAAAGCATTACTCCATCTGCTTTCATTGATAAATATATTAGGTAAATGTCAAGGTTGATTTTGAATTTCATGAACAACACAACAAAGAAAGTCTCTCTTTATCGTCTAAATTTTTTCTTCATTACTAAAAAATGATTTTCTTTGCGATAAATAATAAAAGTCATGTGCCTCTTTTACGGTTCCGTTGTCCTGACAAGGAACTCTTATAGTTTCGTCATGTCCGTCTGTCTGTTCGTCCCCGGTTTTGCTTGGAGACAGCATAAGATAGCTGTAATTTCAAAATGGCATAATAATTTTAAAAAAAATAGTGTATATATGTAACTTGGGGATGATTTTTTTTACATCGTCTACCCTATCACGTGTTATATCGTTGAATAGGATATTTTTCGTTTTTTTTTTAATAGAATTATTTTTCGATTTAGTGATCCGTTTGCGAAATATTGCCCCCACCCCCCTAACAGCTAAACAATTGGCTTGAAAAACCTGGAAAAATTCATGATAATAGATAGTGTTTTTCATCAACTTTTAGGGAAATTATGACGGTTATAATAGATTTGATAGTTTAAGAGTAATAGTCGTTCAACTTTGGTTAAAGAAAATTTCTTCTCTACTGACAATTCCTTAGAAGAAAACATTAATAGTGACATAGATAGGCAACTACGGAACCCAACACTGCGCGTGGCACGACACGCAATTTACCGGTTTTTCAAAATTCAAAATAATTACTGTGAACCTTAATAACATTACAAATAATGTTGATTTTCCTGACACGATCAATGTTATTTAGCAAAAAGAGCCTATAACATATTTTAAAAGGAAATTTAACAGCCAGACGTAAATAGGACTCAAAATGAGACAAACATTTTCTACAGGTAATGCCGGCATTATCTGTAGAAAACACACAGCATGATGTCCTTCTGCCTCTATAACGAAAAAAGGACAGACTGCGTGAAAAGTGATTGCAGGACTTTTTGGCGGGATCGGGAAGCGTCACTTTAGCAGTTTTGTTTTTCTTGTTAAAAATTGTGTTATGGCGGATGTTAGTGTCTAATAATGGTGGATTATTAACAGAGATGTACAAAATGGTTTTAAAAAAGCATTTAAATACAAAATACAAAATACTTTTTAGATTTACTATTTCAAATGCAAAATACTAAATAGTTTTGCGTTTTGTATTTCAAATGCTAAATGCAAAATAGGTATTTTCAAAATAAAATACCCCCT